AGAGGCCCATCACAGCATGCGGGCAGCAAATCTCACGCTTTGATCTCACCGCCAGCTAAAGGTTAGAGAGACCCCACGTGTGTGCTTCAAGTGCGTTCACCCTGCATTGCCAGGGGGACTGATTCCCGATAGATTCTGAAAATGTCGCACGTGATTCCTGTGAAGGAACATCGCGATCTTGCACCCGTCTGTCTCATGGAGATAATTACCCTATACGACAACCCATCTCAGGCACTGCGATCGGCAGATTCCCATCTCCTGGTGTCCCGCCAACCCCGTCCGGCTAGCGTCAGTGACAGAGCGCTTGTCAAACCACATCATGCGACGTCTTCCATGACCAATTTAGCTGCGACCATCTTTATCTGCTTGAATGTCTGGCCTCAAACCAAACATGGTTCTTTTGTGACAGTAAAGATGACCACAGCTTCTGAAAGAGGACGTGTGGTTCGTGGTTGAATTCTGAATGTTGTATGGCTTTTAGTGTGGTTTGATGATGGTAAGATTGCATATTTACATTTTAGTTTACAAAGTAGTGACATAGATACGTTTTGTGTGTATTTGCGCAACGTTAAATCTATAAAATAGGTTTTTTGGGGTTAGATCGCGTAAATATATAAATGTGTTGTTAAACCCCGCCACCACCCGACACAGCCAACTAGTAAGGGTTGTCACGTAAACAGAACGTGGCCAATTCGTCACTAGTACAGCACACCGGTGTGTTGGAGAGCCAAGCCACAACATTTACAATCTGAGTACTCAGATCTGAATTGGCACGTTCTGTTTACGTGACAACAATTTCTAGTTGGCTGTGTCGGGTGGTGGCGGGTTTTAACGACACATTTATATATTTACGCGATCTAACCCAAGTAAAAACCTCTTTTATGGATGGCATTGTTCGCGGAAGCCTACGTGTTAAACTGACGTTATATATAGTTGGGTCGAACTCTGGCAGACGAATGCCCCCCGCCACCCTCCATTCCGAATAACGTCACAGGCTCATTGTGTATGCGCGACTTCGCAGCAGAGGTGGGGGGGGGGGGGGCACGTGGGCAATTCCCCCGTGGAAATCGCCGGACAGCTGCTTCAATTAAACTGCCCACTCCGTGCTTACATAGCCGGGGAGGCCATTCAGCAGCCTCCGCCACCGCCAACAGCCGCAGTGGCAGGGCTTGGCGTTGTTCGCCCGGCCGGCCAAATGCCATGTCGACAAAGCGCTTTGGGGGCTCCAGTCAGGGGGAGGTGGCAGCAGCAGCAGCAACAACAAAAAGGCATTGGCCGCGACGCGCATCACAAGTTAGGGGGGGGGGGGGTGGGGGGCGGCAACGGGAAAGGGGCGAATGACGCAAAACGATGGACGCGAGGCTCGGTACAAATTATTCTTTGTCGTGAGATACAAAACGAAAGTGTCACGCGCAGAGCGTAGCATGACGGCTTATGCGCGGCCGTGTCTGTGTGAATATACTTTTGCCGGAGTCGAGCAGATGTCTCCAAGCGGTGCATGTCCTCTGCCTCGCGTCTTCCTCTTCTTTGTCTCGCAGTGTACCACATTTCAAAGTGTGCATCCACCCGTTGCTTCTTTGTGTACTTTCCAGTTTTTGTTCCATTTTCTTTGTCGGTGGCCACGTGTAGGGCTTCGTCTCGTCCATTGCATTGACCGTGAACCTCAAGTAAATGACCTTGGGTGGAACACTTCTCTCAGTGGACCTTACCTGGTAAATTAAAGTAAAAACAACTGTTTTTTTATAGTTTTTTTTAATTAACACAATAAAACGGTGGACCGGCTTCAACATTTTCAGTGTCTCAGCACAGCCAGGCTTGCTTGAATCAACGACGCTGAATTGCCAGATGTTTATAGGCGAGGAAGCTCTGTGAGATGTGGATCCTAGCTTGGCACAACACTACAGTATATACAGTAATTATTAACACAAATTCATCATGAGCGTCACTGTTGGGAATATGAGTAACACAATAAATAAGCAGCCAATATGCCTGCTTCCTATATTCATCTTGCCTTAGAAAAATGAAGCATTTTTGTGGCACATCACATCAGCCACACGGCCTTCAGGGAGTGATTCAAGGTGCGTGATGGTGAACTTAAGTTGCCGAGTGGACGTAAGAGTCTTACCGCGTCGTACAAACTCCATCAGCCTTCAGCACGAACTCTCACGACTACCCACAAAGTAGCCACAGTTATACGGCGTATATTGGCATGCCAGTTACTTTAAAAAAAAAAAGAGAATAACATGAAATTCATGGAAGGAATTGGAATTCCAACGTAAACATTTTCAAGAATAATGAACGCTTGCTTCTTGGCAAAAACAAATGTAGTGCCGGAAAAAAAGCTAATGATCAAAATTCGAATGTTGGTCGTCAATTCATGAAAATGTGACCCTCTGTGAGAACGATGGAATGGCACAGAAAAGCGCCATCGTGGCCATATCAGGCACCTGAAGTCCACGAATCATTATCATTCCGAAATTACATTTTATTCACACAAAAAAATAACTGCTCAGATTCCATTCTTCACATAGAAAGATGTAATTGTGCAACATGTTATTTATTGGTGTTCAATACATAGCGTACTTTTCTCAGCAGTAGGCTTAAGTCTACACGCAATGTTTTCAGTGAATATCATGTCATTACATATAAAATAAACAATCAGGACACACTGACTCTTAGAACAAATTGTGCCAAACAGCTGGTTAACCTGCAGGGGTTTCTCGTGATTTTTATAAAAGGCGTAACATTTTTAATTAGCAAAAAGTGTTCCAAGTATATGAGATTTTCTATTAAACCTTGCGGCAGCTGTGTTGCCACTGCAGTAACCTGGGGAAATGCCAGGAATGTGTTTTAGAAACTACGATGCCATCCCCGCACAGAGTTTGTTCGAACTGAGCTTGCACTGTGAAAAAAAAATCTCGTTTAAATCACCAAATACCAGGCTCTGGCACTGCCCTCTCCTCCACAGGTGCGCATATTGGGGATAACAAACACCCAACATATTCTTAAATAACACCGCCTTTCAAGAAAAAAACAAATATGGGCAATGTAGCACATACGTGAACGACCATAACATGTATGTGCTATGGAGGACCATTTCAAGGAGTGTTTTGAGAAACCTGTTGAGATTATTTTTTTTTCGTTACTTATGCACCACTGCCAACGCAGTGTCACCAAATAATGTGCTTCCATCGTAGATGCTGTAACAATCCACGGGATACCATGAAGGTACAGTGTCACCAGGGCATCTGTAATGTGAACCTCTTAACGCGTGGAGGTCGGGCGAAACTTGTCCTGTGCGGATGGGTCGTTCTTTTGTGACACTTAATAGGACCGTCAATCATGCATTCTTCAGTAGAATGGGTAACCCAGTAAACACGCAACTTTGCGCCAACCGTTACAACCAGTGGCCCAACATAGCATGTTTACTACGTTTGGTGTAATATTGCCTTGCAGTAGGCGTTTGCAAGTGCACTGCTCAGAATGAATGTGCCCATTACTGCCGAGTTAACACGGTGGCAGCCTTTGCTCCTACTTGCCGATTTTTCTAAATTAAGAAACGTGTGATTTAAACCACTGGACTGGATTGGGTTACTCGCATAATTTAAACACGTGTTTGGTCTTGTGCTGTGCTGGTGCGTGACCGAGAGCTACCGTGTGCGGTGTCGTGGGCTCGCACACTGGACCTGCAATCCAGAGGCCACCCTTTGAATTCCATCTCCCGGCGCGGCAGTTGAAACAATGGGGCAAGTTGCTGAAGTCTCCCCCCAAATTGAGCTACACCTGTGGTGACTGCCATATCGGGGAGACGAAACAACGTCTCTGACCGAATTCGCGAGCACAAATCAGATTTGAAACACGGCAGAACGAATTATTCTGCCGTAGCTGATCACTGTTACAACGCTGTGGGTGATCACGATATAGTTTTCTCCGATACCAAGGTTCTCTGCAAACCCACGGGTTTTTATCAGAGATTTGTCCACGAGGCAATTCAGATTTACAAACACAGACACAATTTCAACCGAGAGGATGGTTTCAAATTAAGCAATCATTGGAAAGATGTTCTAAATCAAACCAAAACATTAAACTAATTTTCAATGGTACAGCATATTTTTTTCAAGTAGTGGTATCCCAAACTTTCACAGCAACTTATTTCCCTTCACACCAAAATTATGTAAACTCCCCCCCCCACCATGCCGGTCCAGTACATCATTGTTATGCTAATTCCTTTGTCAAGGCGTTTTTTGTTTCCTCCCACACAGCTTAAAGGACGCGACCTGGGCTTGGCTGTGTTCACTCCAACGCTGTCCTCTGGACAGTCCGGTCCCTTCACCTGATGAAGGCCACTTGTGTTGTGGCCAAAACGTCGTGATTTTTGTTATTTTATTTTTACCTACGTGACTTTACCGAATAGAACCAAAGAGTATAAAAACAGCATGCAGTGGAAATTGGTGGAGACCCACTCACTGCCGGTGAGTTGCATTCTCCCACATTAACATGAGCTACCCCGCCCATGCTGCTGACACACTTGGGCTACGCCCATCTCTAAACCTTTAAAAACAGTTTGCCTTTAGAGGCTAACCCCCCCTTTTCTTGATGACGACCGCTTGTGTCGCGATCGAAACGTCGTGTTTTTTTTTAATTCTTTATTTTTTTTAAATCATTTTTCTATCTCCGTGACTTTACCGAAAGAACAAAAGAATATGCCATGCAGTAAGTAGTGCTATGCTGCCCCCAAGTGGCCATGGATGACATTTCTATTCACTGTTGAAGGTCCTCCGGATTTTTTAGATGAGATATACATATTGGTAGAAATAAAAAAAATATTAAAGTGAAATGTATAATTATGTAGATTAACATCTTCATATTAAAATACACTAAAATTGTGTTTAGCGAGGTCAGGTTTTCAAGTATTCAACTGCTATACATAAAAATACGTTGCAGATTTTACCATGTTGCAATTTGTATGCACAGCAATAAACACAAGACGTGTGAAAAAGTTAATATTCTGTATGACAGAGGTTAGATGTTTATTTGGTTTTAAATATATGTAAAGTACACTTATACATTTTTTTTTATTTTACGAGACAAATGCACATACTTTCCAAGTTATATCAATCATGCCCCTTAATTCCACGTTGAAACATGTCACCGACAACCGTATACACATTTGCTGCCAAAGTGTGGAAGTAATGTACAGCCCAACTCCCAGGGAGGCACTCTGCTGCACTCGTGCCATCCCACCATACACCAACTTTCAAACTATTCATTCTAGATTTGAAGCTTCAAACTATTTATCATTAAAAATCATGCCCGTACACACATCAAGAGGGGTCCACACTCGGGTAACCTGGCAGAGCTTTCAAGTGCTGGGCCAATGCAATCCCTCACATCACTGTTGAGCTCTTGGCCAATCATGAATTCATTTCGCAGCACGTGGTCAATGCACTGCTGGATGGTTTCCCCCACCACGTAGTGTCGCTCATGGAGGTTATCTGAACATAACATGCTGGCCAGTGAAAGTTGCCGGGCTGTACTCGAGACCGGTTTAGTTATCACTCGCCACTGATAGTGGCTGGAAATCGAACTCGGGTCACCAGATTCCGAGCGCAGAGCGCGAACCATTGCATCACTGCTTCACACCACGTGGACTTTATTCACAACCGAAAGATATTCACCACACTCGGCGACCAAAGAAAAAAAATTATTGCAAAAGGATGGACTTATTTTCAAGCAGACAAGGTGCAGCACAAAGATTAAAGACTGCAATGTTGTGGAGTGCAGCCAAGCAACAGCCGCGTCAGATCTGGTCCCAGTGCTCAGCTCTGCCGCTGGCAATGCTCGGTCCTAATTCACTGCGCTTCCTTCGATTGTAACCTGCAGCACCTGGGTATCGCGAATGCTAGGTGTCGACTATTACGATGCTCAGCAGACGCAGCTGCCGTGTCGGGTGCAATGTGATCGTAAAAGTTAGCGGCTATGGCATTGGAAAGTTGACAATTTTAAATAAAGAGCATTGCCAACATCTCTTCGTGTCGTTCAAGGGCAAGAGGAGCTCCACATCCGAAACGAACTTCAGTGCCACGTGCACTCGCTCTCTTGTGTTGTGCAAACCCCACGAGCTACCAATCCATTTGCCATGCTAAAACTCAGTTTAATTACGTCAAATGCTAAGAAGTCGCTAACCCCTGCATTGTACACACACTGCAGATAATTTAGCAAATAGTATTACATATGCTAGTTGTCTCCATGATATCAAAGAATTTGCAACGAAGACCAAAACACTAGTTAAGGTACAAGAATGTTTAAAATTCGATTTTATTATTCTAGATTGCGCTAGGACTGACATAAAATGGACTATTCTATCAAATGTCACAGGGTCTTCAATATAATTTTCAGACACTAGTTGTATCCAAGGTTCATAAGACAGTACTATATTAATAATAGCCTATAAAAAATACTAAACACCTGTGGCCATTTAAAAACCCTGTGCAAAAACACCAAAAAGTGTGCTTACTTCTTGGCTAAACAACAGTTTAGCTTTTCAATTTACCTTTATTGAAAGGCACGTGTTTGTAATAATGGTAAATTAAAATGAAACATGCATCGGATGCCAATTGTGAGGTACAAAGAATTTCCTCAAAAAGGTAAATTACCTTAGAAAGATATTTTTTTTTATAAATATAAACCTGAATACTACAGGCATTTTCATTTTAAGCCAGCACCCAGAAACGTTACACATCAAGAGTTCATCTCTGCTGCTAGTCACTAAAATGGAACAAAAGCTGACGAGTGGACGAAGCATGGAGAGAGATGCATGCTTAGAAAATGAAGAACAGAAATATACGGATTAGATCACGCACAAGTTACGGACGCAATTTTGACCCTTGATCAGGACACGTCATGGCGATAAGAGACAACGACGATGATGGCCACAGGTCGAGACTTACAACGGGATAGATGGCCGAAGGAGCAAACGTGCCCAAGAGGACAGCCTCCACTTGTGGAGATGGAGCCACGAAAGCAGCTTGTGGGCAGGCGCGCGATGGACGTTGTATCGTGCGACGGTGTGAAACGCCAATAGCTTGGAGAGGCATTCCATCCGGCAGTTCGCAAATCCCAGCCGATGGTGGCGCACACTGGAGGTCTCTGCAAACGATGTCCAATTGGTGTAACCAGGGATGTGCCCCTCGATTTCTTGAATAACATTTACTGCAGCAAGCCCTGAGCTGACAAAAGGTGCCGCCGGCCAAACCCTGAGATGGAAACGAGAGCGCTGCCGAAAGCTAGGACAAGCGGCAGCAGCAGCTCAAAATAAGCCATAATCGGCATTGCCTGAAACCCTTGGGACAAAGAAGCTCAGTCTCCTATTTCAGGATACAACCTCGAGCAACGTGTTACTAAAAAAAAACATAACGTGGCATGGGGCAGTTCAGTTTACAAAGAGCGTTCATAAAATGTTACGTCAACACTCTGAAGAGTACACAGAAAGATAAATCATGCCGCACTTCTTAAGTAAATGGAGTATTACCGCTCCACTGCCCTAACTCAATGCAAGATTTAGACAAGACATCCAATTTTGTGCGAGATGGTTTAAGAATCGAATTAAAAAAGAAGTCAAGTTGCTCTCCAGATGTGTATCCTTCAACAGCACAACAGTCGCTGCTCCCTGCGGGGTCGTTATTCAGCACAGGCTGCAGTTGTTGTCTCGCGAAGATCTTCCCGCTGCCTGAAACACACGCGTGCACACACACCACATCGATTATTACTCCGTGAAATCATTGCTACAACTACGGGTGGAATGACTCAGCCACACGATTCAAGATCACAATTAGATTCAAGAATCGACATTGCAGTTAATGTTGTGACCTCTAATGGCTGCAGGATCACGTGAACCCATTACTTACAAAACACATGCATTTAAAAAGCATTTGTTATGATACACGTGATTTGAGGCTTGAATCGTGAGCTTAATAAATTATATTATTTTATTAATTGGTGGATCATTACACTCATAACTGCCACCTACTATTACCATCAATCTGTGCAATTACCGTTTCAGATCAGCGGTACATATTTGCCGTGTTGCAGCCTGGTTGTGTAACAGACTCAATGACTGTTTATCTAACAAAGTAGAGAAACAGACAAGTCACCTTAACACATATGTCCTGCCACATAAATGTGTAGTATTTATTCCACATCCCACCAGCCACACGGTCTTCAGGGGAGTGTATAACTTTCAGCAGCATTGCTTCAACCCAAGAAAATGCTGGGACAGTTTTGACCGTCTCATCAGGAGTCGGGCTTTCTTGAACCATGTTTCGCTAGCCTCCAGGCGTGCAATGTTTCCTGGTGCTACGCGATTCGATGCACGCGGATTTAAAATCCCATTTTAAATAGACAAATTGATACAATCGGCACGTGCCTACTGGTCAGCCTGTCAGTTGGTGACTTGCCCGAGCAACGGTTTTCTGACCAACAGTTGTGCACAACATGAAGACACATCCAGCGCGGGTTGCGTCGCACCTGTTGCCGCTGCTGCTGCTCCAGCTCCTGTTGCTGGCGGCTGGCTTGCAGGGCGCGAGCCAATTCATCATCCTCGCTGAATTGGGAAGAAAATAGAATCATGCAAAGTGAGCAAGCCAAGTTTGTGAAAATTCAACAAATCATTTGGTTATAGTGCATTGGCAGTGGTGTACAAGTATAGATGTGTGTTATGATGAATGGCTACTGCCCAAAAATCACATTTTATATACGTATATTTTTTCCCTTTGAAAGCAGTGTGACAAATGTATTGATTTTTGGTACGTTAAAAAAGCCTTTCATACATTTACAATGCTCGGAACATTATAAGCCAAATATAACCACCATAACGACTCACCTGTGTTGAGGGGCTGGTGTATTCTCTGCCAGTGACATTTGTAAAGCCAACTGCAGGGCTTCCTCTTCTGTCTACATAAGAACCACACAACATGGATACACACATCAACTCACATTTATTTCATCACAGCATCCTAGAGGATGACCATCACAGATATGCAACAAAGAGCCGAGCTCATGTGCAGGAGTAAGGTGGATTGTTGCATAACAGGAAACGGGGAGTGGCGATGTGGGGAGGCTTTCATGCAACGGTTGATAGAACATGGCTGATGAGAATAATGTTTTACCATACTCACCAGTCCAGCTTGCAGGCTTGCTTGTGCTGTGGCAGCAGGCAGTGTAGCTCTGTCCCTGTGATACACAGATTACCCACTTAGGCATCTTCGGTATGTGGTTGGTTTTGTGCGATGCGCGTGGCTCTCTACGTACGTGTCGCTGGTACCGTGCAATGCGTGTGTACGGGTACACGTACCTTGCAGGGCCTCGGTTTGGGATACCAGCATGCACGGCGGGCTGGCCGGCATGCAAGGGAGGCTGGCCGGCATGTGTGGTGGGTTGGCTGGTGTGCGTCCTCCCTGGCGCAGGCGTTGCTTTGCTCGAGGCAGATTTGCGTTGACTCGAGCCGGCCCTGATAACGGCTGCCGTACTGCATGCAAAACAAAAAAAAACACGCTCGATCACACTTGCAAATATTTTCACGTACATTGTTTGGAGGAGAGGTGAAGTCCTTTGCAGCAACATCCTGCTCCATCGATTTGTAAGGCTTACCCAGCACGGGATAGGCCGCCTGGCGGTGCTATGCACTCGTGGTCGGCTGGGTGCCGGTGCTTCAGACAGAAGTTATTCTGACAGGAGTCGCACACCACCTTCACCAGCTCCTTCTGTTTGCAGCCCTTGCGCGAGCACCGGTTGGTGTAGATCTGAAAATAAACATAAAGAACGCTGACATTTACCCATTTGGTGGCCTTTCTTTAAAGAGTGGGGATGATTAGTCAATGAAAGAGTCCGATTAACTAAAATATGCAATCTACGTTTTTGTTGTAAATTACTCGCATTTAAATGTTTGGCGTCGCTCTACCACGCCTCGTGGAGTCACATCTGTATAAATAAGCGGTCACCCAAATCAAAGAGCTTACAAACCATAGACGGCCGGAGATGACATGGTTGCTCACCTTGGTGGTTCGCGTTGACTGGCACTCTTGGTCCATGTGCTGCCCCACCCGCACATCAGGAGTCTCTCCCCTCCCCACCGGGACTGGCTTGTTACACAGCGGGCACACAGGCACTTGTACATCCTGTCACACACACACAGCGTTATGAGGAAACCTCCATGTACCAACAGCGTGGTCGAGTGGCCGATTTCCAATCGGTGGGGCACACTGCACGTAAGAATCTGGGAACCCCCAGACTTCATATTAATCCTTGTAACCTAAAATCACGAGGAGCCAAACATTAGTGTACAATAGTGCAAGAGACTAATTAAATGGAAATCTGGGCATTGTCATGATGATGACGACATCACCACGTGACATCAGTTGTTCCATGGTTCCGCCACTACCTTAGCCACGCATCTTACAAGACGTTTCAGAGATTGTTTAACAGCTGGAATTGAGTTTTTTTGTTGCCAATTTGATGACATTCGTTGTGTCTACACACGTAACAGGGAAGACCGCGAGAAGGTTGTCATCTTCTTCCCCAGCAGCAAAGCGAGGATGTTAGGGTACACACTTAAAATTCCATGTCTCACCACCAAAGTGGACGAGAGTTCTATAGCCTTCATTCTCAAGGCCTGGACAAGTATCGTTTGGGGATTCTAACCTTGCGGTAAGCAGAGGCACAACCATGGTGCGAGTAGGAGAAGTGGTCCTTGCAGAAGATGAGCTCGCAGGCATCACAGCGCATCGGCAGGAAGTCTGCAGCACATAACACAGGATACACAGAACCAACGTTTACACCGTCTCCTTTAGGAGACTCCACAACATTAAGATGCAAATCGATAACACTGATCAGGCGGACCAAACAATTGGTCGCGAACAACGGAAAAGGCAGCCCTTCGGAGCGCCGTATGCGTTACTGAAATTGAATTGATTGCACGAATCTATGACGATTCAACCATGGCGCCGAGAATCAGCCGCTTGCTGAAAAATAAAAAATGTCGAAACTTTACACATTTGACAGACCAAGAAATGGCAACGTGGTTAATGGGAAACAACTCATCCGACCTAAATTGTCAATACTGTGTGTGGTAATGTCCTGGAGCCTCAGCGCACACATCAATACAGGAAACACTCACACATACACTTGACAACACACGTTACTTATACGCCACACGTCACGCAATCTACAGCTTCACAGCTGCGAGGCCTAAGCTGGCGTATTATTTGTCAGTGTTAATATTTGCAGATATCGAATTGCTTTCACATTAATTCAAGCGCAGCCGTAACAGCAGACGGTAAAGTGGATTAGGACCAGGGTCATTCAAAATCATAAACAAGTTCGCCCTGCGCGGCGAACACAACGGACCTAACAAGAATAAGCCACGTCAGCCTGAAACATCATTCCGTCAACACGCCCCCTTCAACCTCAAACACACAGTGGAGATCCCAGTGACGGGAACGACCGACTTCGTGAACCCCTGACGGACATCAGCGGGTGTAGTTGGACAAGCCTGGCCGGAGGAATTGGCTCCCCTGTACCTAAGACAAGTCTCTAATCGTGTCTCCCCTCCCCGCGTCTCCCTCTCGTCCTGGTGTCACACAAAGACAATCCTTCCTGTGTCCTCCTCGCGTCTCCCTCTCGTCCTGGTGTCACACAGAGACAATCCTTCTCTTGTCCTCTCCCCTCCGTCTCGTCCTGGTGTGTCACACAGAGACAATCCTCCCCGTGTCCTCCTCCTTCTCGTCCTGGTGTCACACAGAGACAATCCTTCCCACGTTCTCTCGTCCTGGTGTGTCACACAGAGACAATCCTCCCCGTGTCCTCTTCCCTCCTTCTCGTCCTGGTGTGTCAGAGACAATCCTCCCCACGTCCTCTCGTCCTGGTGTCACAGAGACAATCCTTTCTGTGTCCTCCTCCGTCTCGTCCTGGTGTGTCACACAGAGACAATCCTCCCCGTGTCCTCCTCGCGTCTCCGTCTCGTCCGAGTGGGTCACTGAGACAATCCTCCCTGTGTCCTCTCGTCCTGGTGTGTCACACAGAGACAACCCTCCCCACGTCCTCTCGTCCTGGTGTGTCACACAGAGACAATCCTTCCCGTGTCCTCTCCCCTCCGTCTCGTCCTGGTGTGTCACACAGAGACAACCCTCCCCACGTCCTCTCGTCCTGGTGTCACACAGAGACAATCCTCCCTGTGTCCTCTCGTCCTGCTGTGTCACACAGAGACAATCCTCCCTGTGTCCTCTCGTCCTGCTGTGTCACACAGAGACAATCCTCCCTGTGTCCTCCCGTCCTGGTGTGTCACACAGAGACAATCCTCCATGTGTCCTCTCGTCCTGGTGTGTCACACGGAAAGACAATCCTCCCCACGTCCTCTCGTCCTGGTGTCACACAGAGACAATCCTCCCTGTGTCCTCTCGTCCTGCTGTGTCACACAGAGACAATCCTCCCTGTGTCCTCTCGTCCTGCTGTGTCACACAGAGACAATCCTCCCTGTGTCCTCCCGTCCTGGTGTGTCACACAGAGACAATCCTCCCTGTGTCCTCCCGTCCTGGTGTGTCACACAGAGACAATCCTCCCTGTGTCCTCTCGTCCTGCTGTGTCACACAGAGACAATCCTCCCCACGTCCTCTCCCCTCTCTGCGTCTCACAAAAAAACATCATTCGCTCGGTCCCCAGACCCCCAAACCCATCTTTTATGACGCGACAGCTGGTTCCACAAAAGCTATCGAAATTTAAAAAAAAATTCCTTTTAACGTGAACTCCATGTAATAACAATCTCCACTCGGAACGTTCTAATGTGCCCCCAACACTGCCCCGTCACTCTAGGCCCGAGCCTCGGTCTCGCCTAGCGGGTCCCGCCGACAGAAGCTTCGCACCACCGCGGGCCCACCACCGCCGCCACTCCCCGCTCACCGAGACGCTTGCAGGTCGCTTCCATGCAGTGCTTCCCCAGGTCGGGCAGCTCCATGTCGCTTCTCCGTCGTGCTCGTCTACGTCCGCGAGCTATCAAATAAAAGAACCGATGGTGTTGACGACGCCGAGCTGACGACGCGAGCCGCTTCACTTATAGCGGCGGGGGCGAAGCGGTGGTGGGGGAGGGAGGGGGGGCACCCGGAAGTGACGTAGACGAGCGTGACTCATCGATTCTGATCGATTAATTACACAATTCTACTGGTTGGTTCTCTCGGTAAAGTCACGGAGTTAGAAATACATTCAAATAAAACAAATCACGACGTTTCGATAGCAACACAAGCAATCATCATCCGGTGGGAAAAACACAGCAAGACATATGTTTTTTTTGTTTGCTAAAGCGGGAGAGATCACTTTCTTGCTGTGATTTTCCCACCTGATGATGATTGCTTGTGTTGCAATCGAAACGTCGTGATTTGTTTTATTTTAATGTATTTCTAACTACGCGACTTTTAACCGAAAGAACCAAGGAGTATGGATTACTGCAGTCACGAAAGCTTCAAATCAAAATTACACAATTCTAATCACTGCTCCGTATAGCGGCGTAGGAGGCTTTCGCGATCGATATGAATCCATGATAGAGGTTGTTTTTGTTGGGTTAGATCGCGTAAATATAAATGCGTCGTTAAATCCGCCACCACCCGACGCAGACAATTAGTAAGGTTGTCACGTAAACAGAACCTGCCAATTCGTCACTAGTGCAGCACAACCGGTGTGTTTGGAGAGTTTAATCCACAGTACTCGAATTGTAAAATGTTGTGGATTTACTCTTACTGTATTTATGTTCCACACAACGACGCGAATGATTATTCCGTGTTGTGCATTGCATCGCTCTGCGTCGAACTATGGACCCACAGAGGGTCCTTGCCTATGAACATCTGGCGGTGAACGAACACCGACTGTCAAAACCGTTCTTTGCTTCGACTTAATCAAAGCTGCTGAAATCGTGTAAATATTCAATACGTTATCAAACGAGTGCGCGGCAGAGGCACTATAGCGAGACGAAACCGTGAAAATACATTTCACTCGAATTTATCTTAAAATTAATCATTTTCATTTAAAACATTATAAAATGTTTATGGAATTGAGAAATCGTTACACGCGGCGTGACTTAACACCGGCGCGTGGCGTTACGAGCCGGTCGAGAAGCTGCGGGGGGGTGACGTCACGAGACGTGACGCGGCACTTTTGTAGTATCACGCGTCAAAGGGAAGGTTCCGGAATTGTGACGTCACCGCGTGTTGTCGCTGTGACGTCACCGCGTGTACTCACTGATTTCATCCACGCGGCGACGGGACCAAACGTGTGTTCGGTTTCTATGAATCTGGACTCTACTGGACACATCTTAGCTCTGACACACATACATAATTATAATACGCACCCAATCAAGTTGAATACTGATCTGGCCACACACACCTACCGGATTGTAAGACGCGACCCCAACTTTTGATTTGAAATACAAGGAGAAATCGCGCGTCTTACAATTCGGAGAATTCGGCATAACTTATGATATTTGGTTTCCGGCAGAGACTTAAAAGTGTGGGGTCGGGCGTGGCAGCAGCAGTACTAATCTAGCACTGGTGATGAATGAGTCACTGATGTTTATCAACGGATGGATGAAGCGCCAGATAAAACAAACCGTCACATTTCAAATAACGCGTGTTTGAACAGGCAAATTCCACAATCATGTATTTTTAATTAATGTCTACAACTGTGCAACAATAGGTGCGTCGGGTCGCATCAGAGCGCTTTAAATCACAGTTCATTGCAAACATTTGAAAGGGCACTCTCAGCCGGAGCCGTCACTGTAGAAGTGACTCGGCATTTGGCCTGCAACGCAGGCATTAGTCTATGTGTAATCCCAATGCAGAGCCATGATTCTTAATGAAGGCTTCTTCTCTTAAGCCGTCCCCATGTCTCACGATCCTACGATCTGAAAATACCTGCACACGAGCTGGATTTATCCCTCCCTCGGCTGCCACTCTGTCGTTCGTGTCGAACCGTCGGACATCATCCCTTCCAGCCATAACGTGTCCTGACCATGGCTCACTTTTCTTAAGTTAGAAGAAGTATGTCTTGAATCAGTGATTGATCTATAATCCATGCAATTTAGTTTTCTCTCGTGATAAATGTCGTAGTATTATTTATACCTAATTTTTTTTTACTGAAAACTTTCGTGACTGCAGGAATTCATATTCTATGGTTCTTTCGGGAAAGTCACGTAGAAAAAAAAATAACAATAAAATAATGAAAATAAAAAGACTAAAAACAGCAGCTTCCCTCTTTTTTCTCCTGATGACGATTGCTTGTGTTGCGATAGAAACGTGATATGTTTTTTATTATACTTTAGTCACTTTATTTTCATTTTAATTATTTTTTCTATATACGTGACTTTACCGAAAGAACCATGGAATATGATTTGTGCTATGAAAGGTTATTGCCTGAAACGTCGCCTGTTACGTTTTTCTTTTGAGGCCACGGTGCTATTGAAAAATGTGATGGGGTGTTTTTTTTATATTGTTATACAGCACGATAAAGTATTTGTATGTAGCACCATTGCCCAAGGTGTGAGAGAGAGAGACAGCCCTTGCTTGCGTTTTGTAACAGGTATTGGGCCTTTAAACGCAGCAGCGTGTGTGTGGTGCACCTAGAACAGCGGACCAGGATTAAAAAAAAAACTATAGAACAAAGAGGTGGACGTGAGCGGGTTGGAGTGCATTCGAACTTAATGAAAAATATCATAGCAATGTGCGGAAAGTGTTCAATCACTGTTACCCCACCTTGATATAACATACGGTGGTGGCAAAACACGGTCATTACAGAAAAAATAAAGCAAACTTGAAAATTGTGCAAAGACGCGTGGAGATACAGATATGTGGAATTTAGAGACATAACTGAGACGGAGAAATACGATGGATTATATAGATGTACAGGTTAGTAGTATCAATCATTTCTACAAGTGGGCTTGGGCAGGACACTTCGTTAGATGGGGTGACGATGGCTAAGAATGATTACAGTGGCAGCCAAAGAATGGAACGTGTCCTAGAGGGCGTCCTCCAATGAGACGGAGCCATCAAACCAGTTTGTGTACAGATTTTAGATGGATTGTTGCAATGGCGAGACCATGGGAGGTGGCAGAGGCTTGAGGCCTTCATCCAGCAGTGGATTGAACATGGCTGATGGTGATGATTGGAGCTTAATGCTCGAATGGTCCAATCATCAAGAGGGGGCACTGTGATGGGATTTCAGCGCTGAACATCATCGTGTGACGTCGCCATTAAGATGAGGTCAGTGGATGTGATGAATATTAAAATAATAAGACCCCTGCTGTGGCTGGAAATCCCCGTGAATTGTCAGTTGTGTCTTTAACTTGCACGATTCTGAGTGCAAAAACATATTCTGTTGTTACAATTATTCGTACAAGTTTATTTACAGCGCCATATGCCCTATGAAAACACGCAGCTTGTTCTATTAAACTGTACATGTTTTCCTTTTAATCCTGCTGTCCCTTGAAGTATGTCTGAAAGGGTCTTGCGTGATTGAACAAATACACTTAAGTGTGGTGTTTTTCTGTGTATATAAAATTACAATCAAGATAATTACACCTGCTGAACTGGTTTGCAGCAAACACATGCAGGTTTATGTGCGTGTCACTGTGGGCTCCTTGGGAATGCGTGTAAGTACACGATGTACCTATTGTACTAGCCAGGAAACAGAACTCATATGAACCTTACTAACATCCACGACCCTATTAGGCCGATAGTTTATTCCACTTATCCACAGGGACTTTTCAGTTATTCGCTGATAATAAATATAGAGCCGCTAATCATTAAGTTCCCAGACCCTATAGTTCCCAAGGATAATAAGAGTCACCAGTGAAGGGGTAACACACACAAGATAAATGCTGTAGTAATTGTGGCACTGAGGAATCTTGATCAAATGTTGGGTTGCAATCGTATCCAGTATCGACTGTGCTATATTAGCAGCTCTCCTCGGCCAGGAACCATTTGCAGGCGATTAAAAGCCATTGGCGCAGCGTTAGGTCTGCCCCACCTGCCAAAACAGAGGGTCGGGCAGTCAACAGCCCCTAGTCCCCTTACCCCCTCCCCCCCATGCTGCAACAGCCCTGGCCACTTGGCGATGCTGCACTAATTGGGACGGATACATTGAATGTGTGCGTCGCAATTCAGGACACCGCGGTGGCGAGATGTTAAGTACATCGCCTGGTATGCAAGAGAGACGTGGGTTCGATCCCGACCCTGAAGATGCCTGTATATTATATGTCTCTCCAGAATTCTTCTCCGGGTCCTCCGGTTTTTCCCTCAATATTTAGAAACATGCGATTAAAGTATTTTTGCTGCTATAAATTTCCACATGATAAGCCACTTCTTTGAGCTACCATTTGTGACCAGGTAACTTCTGAAAAAGAGCAATACAGCCCTCTGGGCCGTACCTGGTGAAATAAAAAAAAAGTTTAGTTCATGGGTTAGAATGCCGTTGATTGACGGATCTCACCACCAGCCGAGCGGCGTCTCAGAGCGCTGTACATCGCATCTCACGTCAAACATTCGAAAGGGCAGACGCACTGGCAGCGGTCCCTGTGGGCACAAGCTGACGCAGCGCCCAGCACGAAATCGGCTTCGTTTACCAGTGGGGGCCAATGCACGCTGTGTAATCCCAATTGAGAGCCATGAACAATATGCTGCTGAATGAAGGCATCTCACGGTCCTGCGATCTAACAATGCACCCGCACGAGCCGATATCATAGCTCCATCTCCGCAGTGTATTTTCTCTCTGGAGCTCCCGACATTGGCTGCAATTCTGCCATTAGTTTAAACCACCGGCTGTTTTCCCTCCGAGCTACTTATCCCGCCCGAGACTACTTAACAGTCTAGATGTCTCATAGTTTCTTCTATAATTGGAATTATCACCACTGCAGGCTCTCCACAGTCCAGTGCTCATAGTCGTGTTTACACACGGTATTTAACATTATTCAAAAATAGGCGTTTACACTAGTGTGTATACTACAAGCCTTTTTTTCAAATTGCCGTGTTTAAAAGACACGGACAAAACATGTATAAAACACGACGGATGGACGTTATCAAATGTAATTGTGTAAGCCTTGTACGCACTGAATTTTCCAGAGCCGTTTGTGACGACTCAACCGAGCCTCTAGCCTCGCTGCAGAGAAAATGATCGCCGGCCACCCCACAAGCGGACTTGCCCAGCCCGGCTTTGCGATTACACTTAGACCAATGACAACGCTATGAAGGTTGTTAAATCCTTAAACTGTAACTTGTGTCCATCTCCCGAAGGCATTACACAGCCATGCGTGAACGTCAAACCCTGAGCATCATTTCATTCTGGGTCCACATTAACAAATCGCCCTTATACATAATTTGCTTTCGTCCGTTGCTTCGTGTAAACCATGAAGTCCTAAGTTTGGATTGTATCTTCCGGTTGTTGCCTTCAGGGCACCTATATTCCCCAGTTATTTCTGCCACTTGAACTCACCCGAGTTGTGTGAAACTTCCGTGGGCTCCAAGCATGCAGGGCACGCCAGAGGTCTGTTCTAATCTTAAATGTGATAAACGTATCGCGCATTGTGAAAGCAGCTCACACCTTTGACCCTCCATCAGCAAACATTCCCATGTCCTGTGCACAGCAAATAATCGACAGGAGATAGTTCAAAATTGAAAATTCTCTATTCAACAGAAACCCAATTTTAGACCAAAAAGTAACGCAACCTGAAATAAAAAAAAATTGTATATGACAAATAAAAAAAGCCTGAAGACTATATCGAATTACAAATAATGAAAGACATTCAGATACACAAACACCATTAACCCATTGCAATGAATTCGCAAACCTGCGTTGACAATTAACTCTTGTTATTACACTTGTTTACCCAGAAATCCCCAGCGAGTCCCATGCCTTTTTTCAGGAGGGTCCTGCCAAGTTTTTTTTTGCAGTCATGGGCAACGGTCGCTCTGTAGATTCCAATGAGTAATTTGTGGATAATTTTTTTTAAATTGGAAAATGTGAATTTATGTTACGGGATCTCTAACAGCCACTGAGATGCAGACGGCGCGTATTTGAAATGTATATCGCACCCAGTGTTAACCAGGGCGGCAACTGGTTTCCTCCCACCACCCGCAACGTGCAAAATGTGTTAACAAATGCGTGCAAACAGAACCTTAACCACACTTCATGGTTGCAGCGTCCTTGACCCCAGGTTTAACCCGCAGGCTCACGTTTAATAATGGTAGAGACTAGAACAGCGATTCTAAACCTGTGAACCATCAGAAGTGGTCTGTGGAGCTGTTGCAGATGTGATATATTCTTTTCTTCCAAACATGCAATTCTTTACGGTAGTGGGCAGCCAACACTATATGAGAACTGAGAGCGGTCCACACATCTAGGAAGGTTGGGAACCACCAGGGCTAGATGTTCCGGGACGTAATCCCAGTAAATGTGGAACGTTGGGGCCAATTCTGATCAAACGCTGCGAACCAAATGCTAACGTTGGCCCAGCACTGCGTATTTACTGGGATGGGCTGCTCGACCACTAAGATGACTCGAACGAGGGAGACCCTTTAAATTCCGTTGACCCAACCCAATAGGCTGAGAACGTTGCTTGCTGCAATGTAACCAGTGCAGTTGATGGATGAAATGTTGGAACGTCTGTGTCAATTAATACATTCTCACTTTCCGGGACTGAGGAATAATATCGATGATCAAAACGTAAACTTCGTTTTACTAATCCCTGATGTGCAGTTAACATGTTTGCAAACGAGTACAGTTATATCACGAGTCATTGTGTCCCAATCATGTACCAGTGTGCATGTTCCCTGAGGGCTAAGGTTTCAGCAAGATTAGAGTATGTAAGAATCAAAGGATAAAATATCTCAAGGGTGACGATTTAGTGTTAAGTCAGTATTAGTGTTACAGGTTTGTCATTGGGAATGTAACAAGCTTAAGGGTTAGTGTTGAGGTTTAACGGTTAAGCGTTTTATTCAGGCCTAGGGGATAGAGTGTATACATTGGCTAGGTTTTTATCAGCGAGTAAAAAAAAAGTTAGAGTTCACAACATGCATTGAAACGTCAACCCTGACGCAAGAGCACCCCACATTTAAACTCCATCTGGGGAAAAAAAAAAAAGAGAGAACTCGCTTCTGAGCCCGTGCAGACTTTTTACGTTTCTGAGCATGAGATCATCCAGTGCATACGCGTTTACATACTCGAGCGTTCGTGCGTGCACACGCACACGCACGCACGCGCACACAGGCAGCACGACGCCGCGCAGGAGGAGGAGGAGGAGGTACAGTGACAGTAGACGCGCCGTTCATGGCCGCTGAGAAAATGCCGTGTGTGTATATGTACAAGGAGCGATGGGGGCACCGCCCGACATGGGTAAGGGGGGGGGGCCCGCGTGCAGGCCGCTTCTTAGGTGAGGTGGCGCTTCGCGTGCAGCGCCAAGTGGTCGGAGCGCGCAAACGTGCGGGCACACGCGCGGCAGGAGAAGGGGCGCGCGCCCGTGTGCTTGCGCGCGTGCCGAGTCAGCTCGTCCGAACGGGAAAATCTCCACGAGCAGCCCGTCCACGCGCACGCGTACGGTCTGTCCCCTTCACACACACACACACACAAACAGGCATCCTATGTATATAGGCTTCAAAGTACCGCGGTGCCATGCACCAAAGACAAATATCCCTAGTATAGCCTTTAATGAACTTGCTGGGTGCTGTTAACAAGCGCCTATAAAGGCACACAACACACCCTGCTTAGTAAACTAAGTTGCCTCGGTTTTTCCCGAAAACACAGTACAATGGTTAAAAAATTACCTCATTTCTCGCACCCAAACTGTATTCACAGATGGTTGGAGGTCAAACAGTGTTAAGATAACAAAAGGGGTTCCACAGGGTTCCATCCTCGGCCCCCTCTTGTTCTCTCTTTATGTCAATGACTTGGGCACTGACCTGGATCATTCCAGGGTAAATCTTTTTGCAGATGACACGATACTGATTACTGCTGGCCGCTCTCCGGATGATGTGATTGCAAAGCTCCAGGGTGATTTCAACAAACTACAACATCAGCTAGTTGCACTTAAACTAGTCCTGAATACCTCCAAAACCAAGGTGATATGCTTCTCACCGGGACTAAAGCAGGAAGTTATTTTTCCCCAATTACATTCCTTAAATAATTATCAAATAGAGCAAGTCAAAATCTATAAGTATCTTGGGGTCATCCTGGATTCAAAACTGAATTTTGAAGATCACATTGACTATATTGGTAAAAAGACAAAAGTAAAAATTGGTTTTCTGTATCGACACAATCACTGCTTCCCCCCAATGTTCCGTTTGGAATTGATAAAAGCTACCATACTGCCTCTACTTGACTACTGTGACATCATGTATAAATCAGCCCCAAATACTGTACTGAAGAAGCTTGATTCCATCTATCACTCGACCTTAAGATTTGCATTGAACTGCCCATATAGGACTCACCACTGTGATCTCTACATTGGGTCAAACTTAACATCTCTTAATGTTCGACGGCTTGTGCACCAGATCTTATTTAATCACGATGTACTTACAAAAAAATCGGCAGACTACCTACTGGATCTCCTCTCTGTTTCAAAGAACAAATTTCACCTCAGGTCTTCGCTCATTTACCAGCTTCACATTCCCTATTGCCATACAAAAACCGGAGGAAGGGCCTTTGCTATTGATGCCCCCAGGGTCTGGAATGCTATTGCCAATAAACTGCAACTTGAATCACTACCTATGAGATCTTCACTCAAAACTGCTCTAGAGGAGTTGTACACCCCTAGCTGCCACTGCTATTCAGTGGCCTAAAATATGGCTCTAGGGTTTGGTGTTACATGTTATTTATGTAGTTTATTGTAAAAACATTCGGTCACAGTCCCTATGATCACTGTTACATTGCATTTATGCTTTTATTTTGGTGATTTAGAAAAGTTTTTTTGGTTTGGCCATGTTTTTGGTTTGGCCATGTTTTTGTTTATTGTAGTACGGAGTTAGACTGATGGCCTTAATCTTAGTCTTGTGGTTGTTGTTGTTGTTGTATGACTTGCATCCCACTGGGATTTTTGCACACAGCGTTGTACGGTGCTATTTCAGGAATATTTTGATGTTTTTTTCCTGGATTTTTTGTTTTCACAGTCACACAGTCACTTTAAGATGTTTTCTTGTTCATGTTTTTGTTTGTTGTTTTGTTGCGGTTGCACCCGATTCAAGAGCCGAATGGCTCACAGGGCTATACCAAATAAATGGAACTATGGAACTATGGGTGGCCCATACCATGCCCAGAAGCCATTATCTCCCTTGTGGTGATGTTAACACATAGCACCAGGTACTCATTTAAGGCTGAGTCGACCTAGAGGAGGCCCAGGTCTGGTTCAGATAATTGTCACTGCTGCTGTATTCAACAGAAATCAGGGCATTAAAAAGAAATACATCAGAATGCGAGTTGAGTGCCGAATATAACAAAACAATTGCTTGAAGAAAAATAGGACATAAAATAAGCTGCATGATGGCATGCGAAAATCTGAAGAAGCAGGAGACTGACAATGCAATTGTTTAACAGACGATGTTCATCTGTCTCTGATCTAATCCTAGTCCCCATTATGCGATTTCAGCTTATATCCAATTCCCGTTCCTCTCCTTCTGCCGTCTTCTGTCCTTCCCCTCTGCACTCCTAAACTTCGCGAGCTTTGCTTTATTTTTCTAGATGACAACCGGGGAATCCAGCAGAGCAAGTTTATGCGCTTAGTTTTGCCACTATTCCTACACTTGGTCTCTGTACCGTTGTCGAAAAGTACGAATACTATATATATTTTAAATCCACAGAGCATGCGAGTGAGCGAGTGTGTGTGTGTGTGTGCGTGCACTACCTGTGTGGCTGCGCACGTGTGCCTTCAGGTGCGAACTCTTGGTGTACGCTTTATTGCAACCTGCGAAGCGGTCAGTACAACGGTCATCGGCCTCATTACAAAGCCACAACATTCACAATGAACACATCTTACAATGACTGATGGAAAGTGAGAACACATGCAAGTTAAAAGACATTTTCTTGACCGTGAATAAAAGTAAGTGGGTAAGAGACGTCGCTGGATGGGATGGTGGCTGACGAGGTGGGGAATAACAATGGAGAGGTGGCCAAAGGAGGGAACACACCCGGGAGGTTATCCCCCTTGGAGATGGAGCAACAGATGGATTACATACCTGTCAACCCCTTATCAGTGGCTTCCTTATTACAGACCTTATTGGTCACCCCGTGCCCTTATAAATCTCAACGTTCATTCGACAAAGTCCCATCACAAGGGCGAAACACAGACGAAAAAAAATGTTTTTTGCCCGTATTTAAACGGCTGTACGCCGCATGGACCTGCAAACTAAAATTCCCTGTACAATAATCCGGGGTAAACCGTACATGGGTTGACAGGCATGGGATTATTACATCGTCGAACTGCGGAGAGGTGGCGATGGCTTGGGAGGGACGCTCATCCAGCGGCAGAATGCTCACGGCCGTTGATGGCGTCTACGAAAGTGACTTTACCGCGCTCACCCTCGTGCGGACACGCGTGCACGCGCTTCCCCTCCTCCAGTTTCAAAGTCTCCTCGGTGCTCGGCCCCGCCTCCAGGGAGCCGCCCACCCCCGCCGCGGTCGCCGTGGCAATGCGCGACGACGACGTCGCCGCCGCCGCCGCCGCGGGCGGGACGTCGGGGCTGCCGCGCTCCGAGCTGGGGGGCGACGGGGGGAGGTAGGCGGCCGCCTCGGCCCATCTGCGTCCCGAACAAACCCGCACAATGTCGCCGTCTGCCCCGCCACTCGCGCGCGCCAGTTGGTCCGTTTGCTCACGTAAATATTGTCACGATGTGGTTTTTTTTGTGTTTAGCCGTTGAACACACCGAACTCTGAAAAGGTTACGGTCCAATAGTGCAGCACAAGAGCCACTGAGCTGCATGTGAGCTGGCACGAGTCCCCCTGTGCAGACCTCACGGTATGGGAACATGAAGCTATTTGGCACCATGATAACCAGAATTTAAATGCACATTGGCAAGCCTAGCCCTTAAAAAGTTAAAATGTCATCAAGTTTGGCCTCGCCGTATCAAAGAGAACAAGAATATCAACTGGCCCGCAGGCTGTTTGCCCCGTGACGTTCCTCGTAGTAGGATGATGTTATATGTGGCTCGCTGAAAGATAGAGATTCGTGAGACGAAAATGAGATAAACACAAGAGATGACACACCTGAAGACAAGTGGTGCAGATTAGTCGCGACGTTCACAAATGTTATCACGTCACACATTAAGTCATAAGATCTGTACACGTGACATTTTGTCATGCTGCCCAACAGCAAACGTTACATTTTTAGTAAGTGCCCCACTCGAAAATATAGTTAAAGAACCATGACATTTAACGTTCACAAATCTAGCCTATGGTAATGGTATTGAATTTTAACAAGACGAGCCCTTTATGAAAGTGTGTTTTCATTCAAAGTATTTTTACAAAGATGGAATCATTTTCCTTGGCATCGCTCTTACATGAGAGCAACATCCAACCTATCACCAAATGACCCTGAATGTGTCTGATCTCATCACATCTCTCATGTTAAGGAGGGTAAAGGCTGGCAAGTACTGGGAAAGGTGCGTAGCAGGTGTTGTCGGTGTATTGCTATAAGGGCTGCGACTTGCCAGTGGATGGGAGTACTGTGGTGTAGGGATAGATTTGGTTCACTTGCTGGATTATGTCTCGCTGTACATTGAAAAGGCTGTAAGGACCTTTCAATGTTATCCACTCTTGTGCAAGGGATTTCTCCGGGTGAATTGGTTTCCTTCCCCTTTGAGCTAAAAACTCACGAATGGAACATCCCAAAGAGAGGACCTCTCCTTAAAAACAATCGTAAGATGCTGAGGCTTCCCTGGATAAATAAAGGGCATCATTATCGTTCAACAGAGTTGTCAGAACAGGTGGTAGTATTTTATGCACTTGAATTTGTTCCCAGTGTTGGTGAACTCTGTGTGACCCGTGTCAATTATAAATTGCATTTCTTTGTTGGTAATTGGACATCAACAGTCATATCCACAAGAGTTATTCAAGCCTGGGAGGCCCTGCTGTTCCCAAATGTCAGCGTATTGTGCCGCTTCAGCCACTGCAAATTCATTAACGGCACAGGCCGCCTTGCGACCAATCGCAGGCAGCAAAAACTGCAGGACAATCGACCCACCGGCCTCTCCCACGTCCACGTCCACGACCTCGGCCCCGGCCCCGGCCTCTCCTCGCAGGCCGCTCCGCCGACACCGCGTCGCCCTGGGACTGCAGGCTAGGCGAGCCGTAGGTCCCTCCCAGAGAAACGAGGCCCAGCACTTCGGCCGTTAAGTCGCTGATGGTGCTGAGCGGTGCCGCCATGAGCGAGTCCCTCCCGGGCTGCGGTGGTGGCGGCGGTGGCAGCAGTCGGCTCAGCAGGCTGGGCGCTGCCTCTGTGTGTCGCTGGGCACCGGTGGAACCCGGGTCCATCATTACCATCGGCGAGTTGGATCCCGCATCCATCACCAGGACATCCACGGGCAGGTACACGTACATATCGGCCCGCTACGCAAACACAGCGGACACGCATGCAGGCAGACTTGGATGGCTACTTTGGCACAAGGCAAGGCAATAGACATTTATACAACTGCATCCTGCATGTGCACTGATCTAGTTAGATATCAGAAGATCAGTATGGTAAAGCATGGTTGATACCTACAAGGGAGAATACACTACATGAGAACACTAAGTGTTGCAGACTTGTACAAGTGTCATGACAGAAGATAGTTGAGTCATTTCATGCTCAAATGCATAATTGAGGCAGTGATCACCTCCTGTTTACAGCCCAAAAGAGGACTTGCCCAAAAAGTTATACTTATGACATAAGATAGTACAGCAATGGATTCTTGATTCTATCTGTGGAGATATGTATGCATTAACCTCTTGTACGTGTTGTGTTTTATCCAGGAAATCTCTGGTTTCCTCCCACTTGCCAAACACTCCACAGTGAATTAAGTTATATTCTTAGCTCTTTCGGTAAAGTCACGTTGAAGGAAAACAATAAAATAATAATATATATATAAAACAATAAAAAAAAATTCTCCTTTCAACGTGACTTTACCGAAAGAGCTAAGAATATGAATTACTGCAGTCACGAAAGCTTTAAATCAAAATTGAATTAAGTTAATTAACAAAATGGCCCAGTACAGGGCCCCCTTAGAAGAGTCTTGATATTTAGTACACATTTTTTGGCTAAATAGATGGCATTATAGAACTGCTTTTTTGTGTTTAGTTTGTTGTCTTTCCCCCACACCTTCAATTAGCACGGTTGGCTATGTACGTATGCGCATACGTACATGCGAAAGCAAATACACACAGACACATCAGTATACAACTGATCCACATGGAGACACACCAAGAGTGGCTCACATTTGGGCAGCAAAAGACTGTCACTATATCTGCGTCTAAGTAATATCCAAAGACCTCAATTGTAAAAAAAAAAAATCCAATGTAACTGTTATGGGTTAAACATCCGAATGCTGAAAATGTACCTGAAAATTAATCAATTGGGATTCCACACAGAAACATAACCTCCTACGACGACAACCTTGCTGGACCCTCCTGGAAAAGTCTCGAGATTCAGCGAGGCTTTTCAGGGTAAACAAGCATAATAGTATATATTTTTGGTTCTTTCGGTAAATTCATGAAAATATAAATCAATAAAATGTTATGTTTTATATTTTTATTATTTTATTGTTTCCCTCCTACATGACTTTACCGAAAGAACCAAGAATATGAATCCCTGCAGTCACGAAAGCTTTAAATCAAAAAAGCATAATAATAACAAACACGAGTCAAAAACCAGGTCCTAAGTGGTTCTTCCCACAACATTTCCTGAAACCGCTTTACACACGCATGTTCCAAAATGTTCTTTTGTTTTAAAAAACGGACTTAAAGAGCTCGGCTCAATCCACTGCAGAGGATGCGCATGACCAGCGTGGGAACGCGAGGCCGAGCTTGATCGCAGGCTAGGTTTCTGTAGAAGAATGTACGCGCAAAGATGCACGTTTTGATGTAAAAAAAAATGTCATGCCTTTTAAATTTGCTTCATGTTTTCAGTGTTCAAAGTCAGAAACAAGTAGTCTCACAGTTTGTACATGTTTTACAATTATTCTTCGCATGCGAGGCGAGCGGTGGGAAACCTGTTTGCAGTTGTCATGCTGTCGCACGCACGTCACACCTAGGTATGACCCTAAACGCGCGTTCGGATATTTTTTTAATAAAAATCCTCCAAGACAAATTTCACAAGTGAAACAAGCTTCACACTTTTTTCATGACTCTTCTGGGACTATTATATTTATACAGCACTTCGTAAAATATACTGCATTCCTTGTCTACCGTGATGGATGTTGACTTGTGGCATATTTATGAAGTATATAACACATTATTTTAGGCTATTCCATGGCACAAACCCCATTCATTGGTCGCAAGGAATGTTACTTCCATCATTCAAATGTCCAATGCGCCCATGTGGGAATTAATGTTGCAGATTCACGTTCACAGCTTCACCTTGACAAACCATTCCTTGCGTGGGTGACCAGGGTGAAAAGTGCACAGAGATTCTGACATAAAGGCACCCTGGGCCACCACCAAACGGCCTCATTTCTCAAAAATTTCTAGCCGTCCATTGTGCTCACTCAGCGGTCAGGAAACCCAACAAACCACACCTCGCTCGGGTCATCATAGTTCAAGCAAAGTTCTCATCTAGACCTGGCCACTAAGGGAAAATGTGTTAGACCTGAGCGCAGAGATGACACAGGAGGTAAAGACTTGAAACATGGGCAGAGAGAAATGAGACTTGGCTAAGCAGCCACAAGACGCACCAGCCTCCAGCCTTGGAGAGGAGACAGTTGAGGGTCTGGCCACGGACAAGATATATTTTGTACTTAAAAAAAAAAATCCGCAGACTACCTGCTGGATCTCCTCTGTTTCAAAGAACAAATTTGACCTCAGGTCACATTCCCTATTGCCGTACAAAAACCGGAGGAAGGGCCTATGCTATTGATGCCCCCAGGGTCTGGAATGCTATCGCCAATAAACTGCACCTTGAATCACTACCTATGAGACCTTCACTCAAAACTGCTCTAGAGGAGTTGTACACCCCTAGCTGCCACTGCTATTCAGTGGCCTAAAATAAAATGTTTCGCTCCGGATGACCGCTGCAAAGTATGATCTGTATTTTGATTTCGTGTGCTGATCTTAAAGGTGCATTGAAAAATGTGATACTCCGACTGATGCTCTTGTCGTTGTGGAGTAACTCCTGCAGCCAGCTGTGGCTCTAGGGTTTGGTGTTACATGTTATTTATGTAGTTTATTGTAAAAAATTCGGTCACAGTTCCTATGATCACTGTTACATTGCATTTATGGCTTTATTTTGGTGATTTCTAAAAGTGTTTTGGATTGGCCATGTTTTTGTTTATTGTAGTACGGAGTTAGACTGATGGCCTTAATCTTAGTTGTCTTGTGGTTGTTGTTGTTGTTTGACTTGCATCCCACTGGGATTTTTGCACGCAGCGTTGGTGTACGGTGCTATTTCAGGAAATATTTTGATGTTTTTTCCTGGATTTTCTGTTTGCACAGTCACATAATCACTTTAAGATGTTTTCTTTTTCATGTTTTTGTTTTTTTGATTGTTGCGGTTGCACCCGATTCAAAAGAGCCGAATGGCTCACAGGGCTATACCAAATAAATGAAACTAAACTATGAAACTAAAAAGGCGAGACATGTGGCCAGCCGGAAAAAAAATTACATTGGGGTGATTTTCTAATTTAGGCCTATGGCCAAATCACCTGAATGGCCTCAATCTCATCACTCATGTCAAGTTTACAAGTGAGCTTGGACGGTGCTTGGGCTGCTGCCAGGCTGCGTGGTTGAGCATCAGAGGGCGGTGCAGAAAAGTAAATTGTTGTACAGCACTTCGATGTTCCTCGCCAGCCCGCACAGAAGCAGTGCAGTGAAGTCAATTAACCCTCACTACCCACGCCGAGCGGGCAGGAGTTGGGGGGGGGACATCGTCCAGCAGTGGATTGACAAAAGGTGCTGTACGAGTCCTACTTTAAATATCGCAGAGAAGTTGCACTTGAGGATATGGTGTGTTACACGAAACTCGCCAGGGAGAAGACGCGAGCGTGGAGGACGTCGTGTCGGCAAGAACTTGCCAAGGAGGAGACGCGAGAGATGAGAACTCGCCAGACATGCGATGCGAGACTTGGACAATGGAGACACTAGACGTGCCCACGGAGATATATACAAGAGGAAGGAGGGCCGTGAGCCCCGTGCAGAGCTGAAGAGGCCTTGCACAATGGGATGAGAGGCGAGACAGAGCCCTTGGGGAGGAAGGTGACGATACAGTGCCTCGAGCAGAAGCGACACCGGGCGTAAAACCGGTCAAAGCGACGAGAAATGTGATCATAAAAAAAACACACAAGCCGTAGACACCGGACAGAGAAGCGGAGTCGCCATGTGAGCGGGAGACGCGAGGCCCGTGTCCTCACCTCGCCGGGGCGCACAGGTGTGAGCTCCGCGAACACCGGGGCCTCTTCCGCGTCCATCCCCGTGTCCTCGTGTCTATCTATTCCCCCGAGTTCCCACTCGTGTCCCTTGCTTACTTGGTCTCCCGCCCTCTGCCCCTTCTCTGTTGTTCTTTCCCTCCCGTATCTCCGCCCTCGTGTCTCTCCTCTCTGTGTCCCACGCGCTCTGCTCTCTTAACATGTAACTCTCGCTCGCGTCGTCTCTCCGCTGCTCTCCGCCGTCTCTTGTCTCCGCTGTGCCCCGTGTCGCTGCTTCCCCAACACCGCCGCCGCCTTCCCCCCGTGTCGTCTCCGCTTCGCCTCAAACTCCACGGGCCCCAAACTTCAGAGTCGAAGAGCAACGGAGCCCGGGTACCGCCCCCACCCCCTCGCGAGAGCCCCGCCCCATATTCTTTAGAGCCACGCCCTCTTTCGCCCCTAGCCCCGCCTCTCTCCAACCCCGAGCCCCGCCTACACATAAATCACACCCCGCCCCCCCCTCCTGTAGCTCCGCCTTTTCGTGAACGTGTTGTTTTTTTTAAAAAGGGCCATCGGCCGAAACGTCGACGCTTATGTACTTTCCTGTTTTGGAGCTATTGACGATTGCAGAGGCAATTTTCATTGGCATTATGGAGCGATGGCGCAGTGGTTTGCGCGCGACGCTTTGAACCTGGACACCCGAAGTTGCTTTTCACAGACCACGGCTTATATAAGCGGCGACTCGCGAGCCGTTTATCGTATTTCCTAAACTGGTGCTCATCTGGCGCATGACAGCAGTACTTTGAGTATGTCGCGAAGTCTGCAGCCCACGAGAGTTGCTTCAGCCTTTCAGAGTTGGTGGAGTTTTATTTTTTTCCCCCCGCCCCGCTGCCTGCTCCGTTGAAGGAGCTCAGACCACTTGGCCAACTCCCGCGGGCCACGGTTCGTGTTGCATTGTCCGCAAATCGCACCGCAGCTGCGGCTCGTGTCTTTAATTGTCCTTGTTTGAAGGAGATTCTCGCGACGTTCTGATGATGTCCACGGCTACCACCGGCAGCAGAGCGTCTACTGACCGGCGTGGTGAAGTATGGTCAAACAACCCCCCCGCAACCGACGGGGCGTGTTATGGTTCATCATCCAGCAGTGGAATGGCAAAGGAATAAGCATTGTACTGTATAGCGAAACGACGGTACTGTACGTCAACGGACAATTGCCGCTCCACTCGCACGCCACTCAAATTGTATAAGCCCCACCCCCTCCCCTTCAGCTAGCCCCGCCCACACACTCAGCCCCTCCCACTTCCCCCACCCCCACCATCACCACCACCGCCACCACGCCACAGATTATGATTCCTTTTGTGTTCTGGTAGAGAATGGAAAGCCCCGGGGCCCTGGGAGCCCAACTCCCTTTAAACACCGCAGCGTCTCGCACTCTCCATAGCCCCCTTCCCCATCCCGTCTCCCCACACAATCCCTCGCTCCCAGGGGCGGCACGAGCCCCCTGGGTGCCGGTAATGAAATGGGACCCACCCCCCCTCCAGCTCGTCGTCACACGCCTGAGACCCAGCAGTGTAGTTGCAGTACCCCACCACTGCTCGAGGTCAGATCCCTCTCTCTGTGCGTACACTTCACACACAACCACGCAAATTCAGGCTCACGCCATTCGATTATATAACCTCTCCCGGCTCAGTTTCTCTCCACTCTCCTAATCCAATTTATTCCCATATATCCCTCAGATGGTTGCGCCTGAATCTCTCTCCATGCACTCTCCCACATCTCCCATAGTCCGGGGTTTCCCCGACACTCCCGCAGCCTCTCCTAACTCCGTCTCTGCTCCACAAGTTCTCTCTCACGTCCCAGTATGTTCCACAGAGCCTGTGTCTCTCCATCTGTCCCATCTCCACAGCCCCTCGCTAAATCCAGACTTTCCCACACACCCCCCCCCCATCCGCTTCACACGCGCAGACAAAGATGCCCCGTGTAGCCGAAACGGACTGTAGGGGCAAGTGCTGTTAGCGAGTAGCAGCACCTGTGAAGGCCGGCACTGTGGCACACGAAGGGGCGTGATGGTGACACACTGCGCTCGTTTACGTTCGAGTCAACCTAGGCGAAGTCCAGAACCGGTTCAATTAATCACCACTGATGTTACCCGTGGCTGGGTATCGATTCGAACTCGGGCCTTCGTGTTTGTGAAGGCGTAGGGCGCTCACCACTACGCCACAACTCCACCAAAACAAAAGACAAACACACACACACCACACACCACGCACGACCCCAACCCCCCTCCCTCCCTTCTCTGTGTCCCGGGGAATGTGGCTGGACGAGATGGTTGGGCCGCACCCACGGCACACCCCACTCGCTCACACACACAGAGACACACGCAGAGACACACACACAGAGACACACACACACAGAGACACACACACACAGAGACACACACACACAGAGACACACACACACAGAGACACACGCACAGACACACACACAGAGACACACACACAGACACACACACAGAGACACACACACACAGACACACACAGAGACACACGCAGAGACACACACAGAGACACACACAGACACACACACACAGAGACACACGCAGAGACACACACAGAGACACACACACGCACAGACACACACACAGAGACACACACAGAGACACACACAGAGACACACGCAGAGACACACACAGAGACACACACAGAGACACACACAGAGACACACACACACAGAGACACACACAGAGACACACACACAGACACACACACAGACACACACCCCACTCGTTCACACACGCACAGACACACACACAGAGACACACACAGAGACACACACACAGAGACACACACACAGACACACATGCAGAGACACACACACAGAGACACACACACAGACACACATGCAGAGACACACAGAGACACACAGAGACACACACACAGAGACACACACACAGAGACATACACAGAGACACACACACAGAGACACACACAGAGACACACACACAGAGACACACGCAGAGACACACACAGAGACACACACAGAGACACACACACAGAGACACACGCAGAGACACACACAGACACACATGCAGAGACACACACACAGAGACACACACACAGACACACATGCAGAGACACACACAGAGACACACACACAGAGACACACACACAGAGACACACACAGAGACACACACACAGAGACACACACAGAGACACACACACAGAGACACACGCAGAGACACACACAGACACACACAGAGACACACACACAGAGACACACGCAGAGACACACGCAGAGACACACACACAGAGACACACGCAGAGACACACGCAGAGAGACACACGCAGAGACACACGCAGAGACACACACACAGAGACACACACACACAGACACACGCAGAGACACACGCAGAGACACACGCAGAGACACACACACAGAGACACACACAGAGACACACACACAGAGAGACACGCACAGAGACACACACAGAGAGACACACACAGAGACACATACATGCAGAGACACACACAGACACACGCAGAGACACACGCAGAGACACACATGCAGACACACACACACAGACACACATGCAGAGACACACACACAGAGACACACACACACACAGACACACACATGCAGAGACACACGCAGAGACACACACGCAGAGACACACACAGAGACACACACACAGAGACACACACACAGAGACACACATGCAGAGACACACACAGAGACACACACAGAGACACACATGCAGAGACACACACAGAGACACACACAGAGACACACACAGAGACACACGCAGAGACACACATGCAGAGACACACACAGAGACACACACACAGAGACACACGCAGAGACACACACACAGAGACACACACAGAGACACACATACAAGAGTGAGACACACACGCAGAGACACACACGCAGAGACACACACAAGAGACACACGCAGAGACACACACACACAAGAGTGAGATACGCAGAGACACACACAAGAGTGAGACACGCAGAGACACACACACAAGAGTGAGACACACACAGAGACACACACGCACAAGAGTGAGACACGCAGAGACACACACACAAGAGTGAGACACGCAGAGACACACACACAAGAGTGAGACACGCAGAGACACACACACAAGAGTGAGACACGCAGAGACACACACACAAGAGTGAGACACGCAGAGACACACGCACAAGAGTGAGACACGCAGAGACACACACAAGAGTGAGACACGCAGAGACACACACACAAGAGTGAGACACACGCAGAGACACACACACAAGAGTGAGACACACGCAGAGACACACACACAAGACACACGCAGAGACACACAAGACACACGCAGAGACACACAAGAGTGAGACACGCAGACACACACACAAGAGTGAGACACACGCAGAGACACACGAGTGAGACACGCAGACACACGCAGAGACACACACAAGAGTGAGACACGCAGAGACACACACACACAAGAGTGAGACACACAGAGACACACACACAAGAGTGAGACACGCAGAGACACAAGAGTGAGACACATGCAGAGACACACACACAAGAGTGAGACACACAGAGACACACATACAACAGTGAGACACACAGAGACACACACACAAGAGTGAGACACACAGAGACACACGCATGAGACACGCAGAGACACACGCAGACACACACACGAGACACGCAGAGACACACACAAGAGTGAGACACACGCAGAGACACACACACAGAGACACACACACACACAGACACACACATGCAGAGACACACGCAGAGACACACACGCAGAGACACACACAGAGACACACACACAGAGACACACACACAGAGACACACATGCAGAGACACACACAGAGACACACACAGAGACACACATGCAGAGACACACACAGAGACACACACAGAGACACACGCAGAGACACACATGCAGAGACACACACAGAGACACACACACAGAGACACACGCAGAGACACACACACAGAGACACACATACAAGAGACACACACGCAGAGACACACACGCAGAGACACACACAAGAGACACACTCAGAGACACACACACACAAGAGTGAGATACGCAGAGACACACACAAGAGTGAGACACGCAGAGACACACACACAAGAGTGAGACACACACAGAGACACACACGCACAAGAGTGAGACACGCAGAGACACACACACAAGAGTGAGACACGCAGAGACACACACACAAGAGTGAGACACGCAGAGACACACACACAAGAGTGAGACACGCAGAGACACACACACAAGAGTGAGACACGCAGAGACACACGCACAAGAGTGAGACACGCAGAGACACACAAGAGTGAGACACGCAGAGACACACACACAAGAGTGAGACACACGCAGAGACACACACACAAGAGTGAGACACACGCAGAGACACACACACAAGACACACGCAGAGACACACAAGACACACGCAGAGACACACAAGAGTGAGACACGCAGACACACACACAAGAGTGAGACACACGCAGAGACACACGAGTGAGACACGCAGACACACGCAGAGACACACACAAGAGTGAGACACGCAGAGACACACACACACAAGAGTGAGACACACAGAGACACACACACAAGAGTGAGACACGCAGAGACACAAGAGTGAGACACATGCAGAGACACACACACAAGAGTGAGACACACAGAGACACACATACAACAGTGAGACACACAGAGACACACACACAAGAGTGAGACACACAGAGACACACGCATGAGACACGCAGAGACACACGCAGACACACACACGAGACACGCAGAGACACACACAAGAGTGAGACACACGCAGAGACACACACACAGAGACACACACACAAGAGTGATATACACACAGAGACACACACACACAAGAGTGATACACACACAGAGACACAAGAATGAGACACACACGCAGACACACACACGAGTGAGACACACGCAGAGACACACACACACGAGACACACACACACGAGACACACGCAGAGACACACACAAGAGTGCACACAGAGACACACACACACACGAGTGATACACACACAGAGACACACACACGAGTGAGACACACGCAGAGACACACACACACGCAGAGACACACACACGCAGAGACACGCAGAGACACACAGAGACACACACACACAGAGACACACACACACAGGCGCCCCGTGTACTCTGGACGTTGTGACGCAAACGCGGTGAAGGCACCCACTCGCACGATGGACCCAGTCACCCGAGTTCCATTCCCGGCCACGGATATCGGTGGAAAGTTATGTCAGAGGTTGTGCCCGAGTCCCTATTTGTAAATATTTGCTCCCACTTCTATTTGTTTACTTGTTGTACTGTACTTGTGTAAATAATGCGCAAATGCGCTTCCTTCACATCCGTCCCTCCGCATAAACCATTCAGGCACAAGTTCTTTTGGAAGTGCGTAACCTAAGCAGCATTGGTTAAAACGCAATGGAACTCCAAGGAGGAATCATGATTGATGGGGGGGATGTGTAAAACACGCTTGTATTTTATTTGGAGGAACATGGGAAGGCGGCTTATTTTCTATTTATTGTTTCTGTACTTACATTCTCCACAATGACGCAAATGATTTAATGCTGTTAAGTATTGCGTTTGCCATTTTCATAAGTCACGTTACTCGCAAATAAGCCTATCAGCCCTTCGTGCAGCAGCGGACTGATAAGAGTTGTACATTACAATTGTAATTCAAGACGACAACAAATTTAAGTTAAAAACAGACCGTCACAATGCGTGACAACCCAAGACAAATCTATCATCACGCAGTTTTAAGGCAGTCATCTCCGTGTATAATAAAGCACTGCATTCCCCATGCATAGTAACAAGTCACTTAAAAAATAAAACAAGCCTGTGACTGTATAACTCTAGATTTATTCGTATATGGCACCGAACGTGTGCTCACAAGTCATGTTCGTATTTGCGAGTTTGTGGAAAGTGAACATTGTACTGCACATGATAAATACATATTTCTCGTCACTTCACTGCACACATTGTTTCGCAATTCCCCACCATCCATCTCGGCACAATAGCGGGTGCCACTGTCTGACACGTTCTTCCATCAACTTACCACTTTCCTCCCACTGTGTAAACTCACAACTATCCAATCAAGACGAGCATTCTTCTCCCAGGCCCATCAAGATGCATCTCATTCCCAAATGTGGGCACTTACACAGTTGTCACAATGTACATGTGCCCGTATGAAACCTATTCGTCCTGCAGCCCATGGTCACTGCTGTTTCCTCTCTATGGAATCAACGTGGCATAGGAAAAGGAACCATTCTGAAAAGTGTCGGTACACAAAAGTTTGGTCTTGTGACAAGTGCCGACATGGCGTAACGACGTATATCCTCATATTTCCACCACTGTACTTACAGCATCTTTACATTCTACAGCATCTTTACATTCTACTTTCAACACGAATCTTATTTTAAACATCTACAGCATTTACAACGTGCAGTGGTACCGTGGCAGTTTGATGCCGTATCATCGAGGTGTACTTATATTGTCTGACATGTCTTACCAAGGCACAGAGTGAAAGCTTTATTGACAGGATATTTGCAAGACGACCATGACCCCAGTACAGTACACCAAGCAGAACCAAGCCAATGTTAAGTTACCGCCGTCCCTAAAACCAAGTGCACCCATCATGCAGTGGTAATAATAGTGGTAATAACAGCATCTTTTTTTCCCACTGGCCTACTTCACAGTGGAAGAGGGCATTCCACATCACGCTCGGTAAATGATGAGCGCTTAACGAGCAATGACCCGGTACATGCGACTGCACTGCCTCCAATTAGCACGATTGGCTACGTACCGGTGCGAAAGAAGTTCCACTTCCACACATACCCCGGCCTGGGCACTGCAGCACGATGCCTGCTATTTGATTTACAAACCCACCTCGAAATTAGTGGAGCAAAACAAGTTATTTACCAAGTTCACAGGAAAGTTAAATTCTTTGTAAAATCAAATAAAAAAACATCTGAGCAGTAACATATGTCTTGTCACAAATAAGGTTTTCTTTTCAATTTAATTTGTAACACAAACAAAACTCATGTACACACGACTCTTATTTTCAAAATGAATATTGCTAGGCATCCAATAACCAGTTGTCATTTTGAGACTAATTTTCTAACATTGGAACACTGCTACTACACTGGCACACAATTGCCCACACGCTCAATGACTTCAGTGTCTTATTGCTTTACAGAAGCCACGCTGTGGTAATTCCTTGCCGTACTAATGGGCAGACAAGGGATCGCATCACTGATCCAGTGCAACTAGCTTTACGACGGGCGTGCTGACGACTTCATCAGCTACTTATTTTCAGTACCATTGGCATAACGCTCGCGATAATCATTCAAGTGCAGTCTGCATCGCCAAAACTGCCCCAGGTGGCACACGCACTTTACGGAAGGCATCACAAAGTCCATTACTGCAACTGTACATGTCAGTTGTCTGCATTGCTCTGCCATTATAAACCGCATTCAATATCAAGCCAGAAGGGCCCAGGTTCAGAGGCATATAAATGACGTTCTACATACCTGGGAGCAATACAACAAAAAAACCAGGACAGTATTTGACAAAATTACGCAGAACACACCCACCCTCGTCAGATCTCACAAGCTAAGCAATATTAAGCCTGGATAGTGCTTGGATAGGCGACCATCAAGCATAATAGAGGTCATAGGCCGTGGAGCACCGGAAGGCAGTTGCGGAAAATTCCACTGTTGTCCTGTACTGTAACACTATACTCCCGCATCCCTGCTCCCAGCCATCAGCAACCCCACACTGACCAGCGTGTTGGAAGTATGGTCAAATCACCTCCATGACCCCAGGGCTCGGTGGTTATATTTACAGTACATTACCCAACCATAAATTAATAAAGAATGAAGCATCTAATCACGTTCTGCATGAACCATTAAAGGAAACGTGGTTGTTTTTTTTTTTAATGCAGCCCGAGGGTTTCCTGGACACGCATGCACACGCACATTAGTGTGCTCACGACAGATAGGATGATTTTGGCCGCCCCGGTTTCACGGAGTGGCCGTCTTCAGAGCCGTGTCCAAACATGACGGACATGACGCTCTTGCGGCTCATAGACTGCGAGGAGGCCAGGCCGACCCCGGTTTTCTTTGCCGCGCGAAGAGGGCTTGGCGATGGTGCGGCAACGGGGCGAGCAAGGCCCGGGCGGTAGTCTGTACGGCGGATTCCACAACAGTGGCACGCAGGATCGCATCACATGCAGCACAGGCACAAAATAGACCGACAGCAGCGACATGTTCACTACACGCTGGAGCTGGGCATCATTGGAGAAGCTTGCTGTTCTTGTTGCGTCGTTGAGGTCGCACGAGGTTCAAACGAAACCAACCCTGGCCCTTCACTCAGCCAAGCCGAGGACTGCTCTTTGTCACAGTGCAGCAGTCACCATCGGCTTCTGTTATCGGCGTCGTACATGCCAAACAATCGAGTTGCTCGGTGCTCCACACAAGCTATATATATATACCCAGAAAGGATTATGGAACTTTTTAGACTAGTCGAGTGTAGCTGACAGCTCGAATAGGATTTTTTAAAACTTTTTATCAAGGAGGATCAAGCCTTGACGGTAGACGAGGCCGACCATCAAGGCAAAGCCTGCACCTCAACTAGTTTGCCCACTGGGTCGACTCTCCCTAAGTTGGCTCACATTACGTGGGCCGTCATTGTCAGGCATTGTTATGTTTTTTTAGCATGACCTACGATGCCAGACAGACGTTCTTCATGGCTATTCTAAATATATGATATTAAGGAAATGTGGTGGTGGTGGTGGTGGTAGCAATGGTGCAGGTGATGGGGATGCGTACCCAGCAAGGTAATGATGTCAGCTGACGAGGAGGACGCTGGGAGGTACTGTCCTGGTCGCCGGCCGGCAGCATCTCGTGCTCCCACAAACGCCCCAAATCTGGCACAGAATCCTCCTGTCACCTCGTCACTTATCTCACCATACATCATCCAACTCTCATCGCCACATCTCTTAATTAGGTATCTTGGGCATAATCTATTTGAATGAATCGATTAATCACGTGCTTAATCATCAAGCAAAAAGAACATCATTCACAATTCACCTCTTCCATCAACATTACCCACTCCGCATCTTCATCTTACCCTCGCAAGCCTGCCCTACGAATGTCAGCCTCTCCACACCTTCATGTGGCTTAACTGATGGTGATGACGCCGCTGCGTCGACAGCAGCGTACACGGAACACAACAACCACTCCACACATTCGTCAATAACACCATGGTCCTAAAGGGGAAAACAACATTCAAAGAGGCAACATTTCATCACAGCCACCTCCTCGTGGCAGCCTCACCTGTTCACCAGCAGCCTCATGACCTCCTTGTGGCCACACATGGCCGCCACGTGCAGGGGCGTGTGCCCCACGCGCGACCGCGGCTCCTCCACCCCGGGGCCTGTGGCACCCGGCGCGTGTGGTGGACGCGTTTTGTTCATTTGCTGGTAGAGTATGATGACAGCGTTGGTGTCTCCGTGCTTCGCCGCCCAGTGCAGGGCCGTGAAGCCCGACATCAAGTCCTTCTGTCGACACGCGCAGATGGGACACACGCATTCACAAACCAGTGAGGGGAATTGTCAGCGAGGGAGATAAAACTAACATCTATTCTTGCACGTCGAATTGTGCGTGGGAGAAATAATTTTTTTCGATGGCGCACGTGTTTGGCTTTTGTGACTGACTAAAGGCGCTTAAATGTTAAATTATGCACCGTCAGTTTATAAAACGGGGGCGCGGCGATTACGCAGAGGCCAGAGTTCGCTTCTTGGTAAAAAGTCGTGCAGATCATCGGAACCAGTTTTGAGCTTCAGCTGGGTTGACTCAGCCTTAAACACGTGCATAGCACGGTGTGTCGACATGAACACCAGGGAGACGAAAAGCGGCTGGGCAGGGCGCTGGTCACACCTCCACCACCTTTAACAGAACTTTCCTCGAAAGTCTGTATGGCTACATACATGCTGTTTGTGTATGTATGTGCATGTGAGCACCAGCATATAAAATTAGTACCTGGTGTGATGAGTAAACATCAGCGCTGGGGAGACAAAGGTGGCCGGGTATGGTGCTAGTCACACACCCCCTCGAGTGTGGTTCTGGCCTTCATAGGTGCTTGGGAATGGCACTTGCCCCAACAACACGTTACGAGGGTAAAAGGGGGATCGTTGTCTGTGTATGTGCGTGTGAACAACAACATACCGTGAGCAGCAGGTGAGGGTTGGTATGCATGATCCGGAAGAGGGAGCGGAAGTCGCCCCGGACAGCAGAAAGCATCCAGACACGTTGGACTCTGCTCAAGGTCTCTGGTTGTAGGCGGTCTCTAGAACGCTCCCGCACACGTGTCTGGCAAGAGACAAAGATCCCCTGTATAGCCTTAACAGACTGTTGGGGAAAGTGCTGTTAGCGAGCACCTACGATGGCCGGCATGGCACACGAGGTGGGTGACAGCACCATGCCCGGCCGCCCTTGTCTCCCTCGTAGCGATGTTTACAGATCGTACCAGGTACTCATTTGAGCCTGAGTCGACTTGGGGAGGCCCAGGACCGGTTTAGGTAATCGTCACTGGTGTTAGCCATAAGCGGAAATTGAACTGGGGTCGCAGGGTTCGTAGCGCAACGCGTTACCGCTGCGCCACCGCTCCCCACATGCGTCTGTATACACGCATAGACACGCGAATGTTCAGGCTCTCACACCCACATAACACAGGCAAACACATCCCTTGGAGGCACACGCACGCATCCAAACACAACAACCTGACACACACGGACACCGCGCCCCACACACGGAGCCAAATATTCTGGTACTTTAAACATATTAATTCTAGAGTCATGCAAGAACCATCTATAAATAATTCGCGATGGATTTTGACGCTGCCCCAGCATACAACGTGATGACCGGTCAGTGCGGCCGAGGCAGCGGCACACACCTCTCTCGCCGGTCCCCCGGGCTCGATCACCGCCGGCGCCGTGTCCAGGTGAACCGGCGCCACCTTCTTCACCTTGTCCTGCTGCTGCACACGACAGAAATATAATCTTTAGTCATCCTGGAGGAATCCGGTGAGCTACGAAGCTCTTTTTCACAGATGTCCAGTACCGCGCGACAACAGCACCGAGAGCACAACTGCTGTTGAGCGGTCCATTTCACTTCCTGGCGAAGGTTCCGTGTTGTCCGATACTGTGGGTGAAGATGTCCCGATGTCTGCATGAACAAGAATGCGACAAACCTCCACATCGATGTCCATCAGCCATATTTGGTTCAATGTGCGCACGAACGGTTGTGTATAATTTGTATACGCATAACACGCGGGGCTTTTGTCTTGCGCTGTAGAGGGTAGTGTCGCCAAATAAAATGTTGTAATGTACTATGCTTCCGACCTTCATCAATTCACATTGACCAGCGTGAAGTATGGTCAACCCCCACCTCCTGCACGGTGTGGGAAGGCCCTCATCCAGCAGTGGATTGACAAATGGCAGTACTTGTACATAAACCAGCACAAGTATGCTTGTGTTTGGGCAGATGTCAATGATGTGTGGACACACACACCTCCCGCACCTTCGATTAGCATGGTTGGCTACGTGGGGTGCATAAGAAGTTCAACATACGCACAGGCCAAGACTGGACTCGTGCGTTTTGTGTACACACCCAACGCCTATGACAAGGTTATGTCATGTCTGTGCAAGCGTACAGTACCTGTGGCACCACCAGCTGCTGCTGCTGCTTGCGGAGATTGTTGCGGGAGGCGCTGTGCGACAGGATCTCGTTGATCCTGCTGACCTCCTGCGGAACGCATAGACTCCAGTCGACCGGCGCCACGGGCTTCTTCCACATGCGCGAGCCCTGTCGGCTCAGGCGGCTCTGCCCATCTCCCCCTGTCTGCGCCGCCAGCAGGCCCTTGGCCACGCGTCGGACGTTAGAGGCGAAATCCTCGTCGGCGCTTCCGTAGGAGGGGTCGTCGTCATCGTTGTCCTGTGAGCGGGGCGCGGCGGAGGATGACGACGAGGAAGGAGCCAAGGAGTGCTCCCCCGGCAGTGGTGCCGACTGCTGCTGCTGTTGTTGTTTCCACGCCGCGCGGGTGACCTGCGCCCGAGTCCGCAATGGAGAGTGGACGATTTCAGCTGCGACGCGACGCAGGTTGTCCGCCAAAGCACTGTCATCCTCAGAGTCGTAGTGGTCTTGTTGCCGTTCAATTAAAGCCTGGTCACCGCCACTCAGCTGTTCAGAAGTTACCGGCAGTGCCGTTAACAGCGCTGGTGATGGGGCCCGCGGCTCCGTGGGGACTGTCTCCATGGTTTCGGCAAACAGAGGAGGAATGTTATCCACGTCTGATTGTGTAGAGCGACGAGGATGAAGTTTGTCCAGGATGGCTCCATCGTCACAGCTGACGAGTGCAGACACGTACTCTGGGTGTACTTCCTCTCTGTCCGGTAACAAATTTGGCACGAACATGTCTTGTCCTGCCAGACTGGATTCAGAGTCTTCCAGTGGTGGGTAGGTCCAGACTTTTGGGCGTGTGTCTGTGTAGCCCAGATCTGGACGTTTATGAAACTTATCTTGATGCCTTTCCAGGTGGTGACTCTGAATATCTCCCATTGCTTGGCTTTCCATTAAAACATGGCTATCCCTGCCTAAACTCTGCGTCCGTACTGCAGGGTTGTGAAAATCTCTTTCATTGCGACGTACCTCACGATGATGCTCAAAATGGTTGTCGTTTTGATGGAGGTCCCTCAGAGACAAACTCTTTTCCGGTAAGACGAAACGAGCTGGCGGAACTGAGGGATGATCACGAGCAGGTTTTAATTCTCGATCTCCTGCATAATTATGATTATCCTGAAATTTGAAATCTTGGTCACTCTGATAGAGATCCTTCAAAGATCTGCTCTTTTCTAATACTAGTCTGTCTCTGTCCTCACTTCTGTTAATTAAAGTTTGATCTGTAAGGCTGAATCTGTGATCATCTGGCCTATATTGATTTTGAAACGAGTACGGCTGATCAGTACTCTGGAACTCGCGCAATGATTTGCTCTTTTCTAGAACAGCTCTCCTCCCAGTCTCTCGGAGTGGCTCACGTGCGTTGGCGTGAACAACATTCCAGTCTCTGGGATGACCTTCACGCCCAATCTCATCGCTGTATTCATAGAGATCCCTTAAAGATTTGCTCTTCTCTGAGAACAATTCTGGATACTCAGCAGTAGCACCGAGGAAGTCAGCAGGCTGCTGATATGAGGCCATTGATTCCCACTGATTTTCATGTTGGAGGTTGACCAAAGAGTGGCTCTTCTCCATCAGAGCCTTGGCTCGCAGCCGGGGTCGTCGCCCCTGCGTCAAGGCGTGTTTTATAAACATCGGGATGCCGCGTGCGGCCACCTCAGTTGTTGACGGCTGCCGTCTGTCTGAACTTGCGAAAGAGTGAAGTGACCCTTCCTGACGATGATCACAATCGCGTTGCTTGAACTGGTCCTGGTGCATGCGCGGAGATTGGCTACTGTGCGGGAACCAGGGACGCTGCTCACCCGCCGCCGCTGTCACGTTCTGAGATTCTCTCATTGACCTCTTCTCCTTTTCCGCCAAATCATCCTCGGTGGCATCCGGGGGAATGTCAAAACGTAGTGAGGGGAAAGAGCGGCTGCGGCTGGACGTCGCGATCGGCAAGGGCTGATTTTCTCTTGTGTTGAAGCGAGGATCCCCACGAGAACGCAGCTCGGAGGAGCTCAGGTAACGACTCATCATCGCATAGAGTGGCGGCGGCGGCAGCAGCTTACCCTGGGGTGCGTTCACATCTGGACGTCTGGAATTTTGTGCATCTGCCAGAGTCTCGGGAAGTATGTCCACGCGGCGAGTAACGGTGTGCTTTTTTTCGACTTCCATTTTCTCATCATAGTCGTTGCGGTTCAAGTCGTGCTGAGAGTGCTGGGCCGAGCTCCTCCTCCTTTCCGACTCTGCCGGTGTGCTCAGGCGCACGTCCAACTCGGACTCCCTCCATTCCTGGCTACTGTCTGATCGCCGTGAGGATTGTGATGTGGACTGCGGCAATGGCTCAACACGAACAAATGCGGGCAAGTTTACCTTCGTCATTGCTACACCTCTCTGAGGATCGTTATCTCGAGTGAACGTAATGGAGGGGATTTCACTTCCAGGTTGCGGGTATTGCTTGTTCCACTGATCAGTTCTTTCCAATTCCAGATAATCATCTGCGCGTTCATGTGACCGATCGGGCATGGTAGCCCGCTCGCCCTCCATCTGCAAATGATGCCACCCAGCACCGTGTAGCGGAGGGTCATGCGCCCTGTGCGGGTATTCAGCACCTTGCCCAACACTGCCACCTCCTTCCCGCGTTTCTAAAGTCATATACATGTTCTCTTCGCTCAGCTGGCTGCCTTGGGGGTTTGGTTCATTTAGATAGAGGTCTTGTGCTGCTTCCCAACCGCCACGTGGCACATCAGTTCTGAGTCTGCCAACAGCTGCCTCTACATAGGGCCTGGTGCTTTCGCGGACATGGTCATGGTTATCACTCCATTCCCTCTCATGGCTCTGGAACTGAGTTCCGGGTTCTACGCCCGAATCATAAACACCAACTGACGGTCCATAATATCCAGAGGTTGACCAACAGTCAGAGCGATGTCTTTCAGAAATCGACTGCTCTTCCCTGCCATAGCTGCTGTTGTAATATGCACCTGGTGATATGTACATGTCAGTATCTGGACGTTCCAGGGTTCTATTTCCATCCCTATGAATATGTTCAGGAAGAGACTGACCTTCCCAGTAGGGTTGCTCTAATTGCATCTGATCTCTGTGTCCATCTGTATGTGGGTGTGTGACAGAATCTCCATGGCTGTACTCAAATGGCAAAACTTCTCTTTGATGCCAGCCTTCAATGGCAGTGTTCCTGCTCCATTGGCTAGTTTCCTCAGTGCTGCTCTCCATTTGGCCGGTTGCTCCATGAATCTCATGCCACTGATCAACGTGAACATGTCTGCCTTGTGGTTCAAGTGCGTGTGATGGCATTGCCCATTGGTCGGACGATAGTGAAACCCGTTCTGATTGGCTGTCATCTGTGTTGCTTTCTGATTGGCCAACTGCACCTGGAATCACTTGCCAATGCTCACCATGAATATGCCTCGCATCGGAGGAGTTAGAGTACTTGGATTGTGCTTCCCATGCAGCCACCGCAGGTTCCCATCCGTCAGTTAGTCCTGACACTGTATCTGGTGCGAATCCTCCTGTCCTCTCATCAGAGACCAAACCTGCACTCTCCCTGCATTCGTCGCCACGCAGAAACTGCGATGCTCCAGTGCTGCTGCCCGCTTGTACGGGATGGCTCGAAACGCCACCCTGCTCATCTCGATCGCCAATGCGCCACTCGCCCACTTGCTGAGCTGCCTCAGCGAGACTCGACCCAACCAGGACTATCCCAAACCCCTTTGAGAAGTCAAGAGGCTTGACGTCAGATGGGACGGGTTCTGGCTCCGGTACATCCACTTGCCCTTCCCCTACGGCGCAGTAGTAGCCTCGTCGCTCCTCCTCACCGTAGCTTCCCACTTGCGCCGACATCAATGACCCGGGAGGCGATGATGCCCATGATGATGTCGACCCCGCTCCCATGGAATCACTAAGGTGGTGGCTTTGCTCTTCTCCTGGAATAAAATAATGTTCATCACTCCTCCTGTCTTCCAGATAGCGATCGCCTCCTTGTCCTTCTCGCGAGCCCATCCTGTCTCCCTGCCCTTGCCTCTGCAAATTCATCTGCTCCTGGCTGCTCCTCCGGTCGCTCCGCCGCTGCCCGCTAGCGCCGCTCGTTCCTCCCTTCAAGAGTGCAGCATAGCGCTTGCGCAGGCGCACGCACGTAGCTCCATTAGTCTTGGTCACAGTCGCAACGGCGTTCACGCATTGCTTGAAGCATTGACGAGAACGCTCTCTCATCTCCGCATCTCCCGACTCTAAGAAGTCGCGGAAGTGCTTGCGCAGATCAGCATTCGGCACTTCCCCACCGCGCGAAACAAGGAAGTTCAGGACATCATCCTCGCTCAGTCGTAATGCAGCCATCTGTTCGTACGCACACACAAAAAAAACTTGCACGCATTCACCAACAGTTCACACGCATACAGTAAACATGATACTTGCTACCTTGGCTTGCTTCATATATAGTCCATTGCCATTGTTTTTTTCAATTGTATTAAATTTGTATGAAACTGGATCTTCCACTGGTTCAAAACACACGATATTAAGCTGTAGCTAAGAGGGATTCAGCTATAGGCAATTCAAGCCCCATATTACTTTATCCTTATCACCAAATCTTCATCACCTGAACTCTCATCACCTGATTCTCAAAACTCTCATTACCTGGATTACCATCACCTGGACTCTTTAAGACCCTCATTACTAAGACTCCGGTATCATCACCAGAAACTTAAAAACTCTCGTCATCTGAACCCAGGACACCTTCATCACCAGATTCCCGATGCCACACACCAATCAGCAGTACCTGAATCACCTGGACCTCAAAACCATTAGCATTTAAAACGTCAGATCCTTATAACGAAAACGGGGCCTTTAAGGCATTCATCATTGGAAGCATTATTACCTGTACAGCGGGACATCTGGATCCCAAAATCATCATCATCATCATCCGGGCCCTCATCGTGAACCCTCTTCACTTCCGACCTCCAGACCCTCATCGCGTGAACCCCCTTCACCTGGGACTCCAAATCCTCATCGTGTTAACCCCGTTCACCTGGGACTCCAGACCCTCATCGCGTGAACCCCGTTCACCTGGGACTCAAGACCCTCATCGCGTGAACCCCCTTCACCTGGGACTCCAAATCCTCATCGCGTGAACCCCCTTCACCTGGGACTCCAAATCCTCATCGCGTGAACCCCCTTCACCTGGGACTCCAGATCCTCATCGCGTGAACCCCCTTCACATGGGACTCCAGATCCTCATCGCGTGAACCCCCTTCACCTGGGACTCCAAATCCTCATCGCGTGAACCCCCTTCACCTGGGACTCCAGATCCTCATCGCGTGAACCCCCTTCACCTGGGACTCCAGATCCTCATCGCGTGAACCCCCTTCACCTGGGACTCGACACCCCGCGTCGCCCGACGTAACACCCCTGAAGCGGGGGCATCTGCTCACCTTGCCGCGATAGGCGGGAGGTCGAGTCGGGGAATTTCCACGAAGCGGGCCGTACAATTCAGCACATCACGACAACCACGAACTCGACCACAACAACCGACGCGACAACAGCAGCAGCAGCAACAACAACAACAACGGCGGCAGCAGCAGCAGCAGCAAGCGGCAGCTTCAGACGCGCGGACACAACCACCGACTTCGCGTCGCCATTCGCGCCCAGGTGTCACTTCCGGAGCCAAGGTGCCCGAGGTGACGTGATGCGCCTGACGTCACGCGATGTTGATTTAGATTCCTCAGTCCGCTTGCGCACGGGGAAAGGGGCCTCGCTTTGCTTCTCGTAGCCCGGGTAAGCGCGCGACTGCCTCGCCTCCGGGCTCCAACCCACTCGACCGAGAATGGGTGTTCGGTACCATCCATTGTGGAAATTGCTTATACTGTAATACTATTCTGGCGGTATATTATCTATGGACCACTAATGTTCTAGATAGCAAGGTCAGGGTGATAGGTTTTCATGAGAAATATGTCAATTATAGAATACCATAATACAGTATATTGTTTTGATAAATGGGTCGCGTCTCTAAAGTTTGACATTTTGCAAGCCAGTATTTCTGCTTGTGGTGAATACTGCATAGGGTGGTATTTGCCCGTCAGGTGGGGTGTTTGTGGAATGTGCGCGGTGAGTATTGTAGCAGAGTACAACACGCAGGGCTTTAAACTTGATTTGGAGCATTCGTGACTGCAGGAATTACTCTTTGGTCCTTTCGGTAAAGTCACGTAGAAAGAAAAATAAATGAAATAATACAAAAGGACGTTTCGATTGCAACACAAGCAATCGTCATCAGGCACGAATGAAAGAGAAAGCAAGCCTAGTAAACTTAGAAATATAATGCAATACGACACAGTCGGCTAGACAAAACACAGACACGAAGACACACAGACAGACACATAAGCAGAGAGAGATAACACAGAGACACAGAGAGAGATAATACAGAGACACACAGAGAGATAACACAGAGACACACAGAGAGAGACACACACATAGACACACAGAGAGATAACACAGAGACACAGAGAGATATAACACAGAGACACACAGAGAGAGATAACACATAGACACACACAGAGATATAACACAGAGACACACAGAGAGAGATAACACAGAGACACACAGAGAGAGACACACACATAGACACACAGAGAGAGATAACAAAGAGACACAGAGAGAGATAACAAAGAGACACAGAGAGAGATAACACAGAGACACACAGAGAGACACACACATAGACACACACAGAGAGATAACACAGACACAGAGAGATAACACATAGACACACAGAGAGATACACACACAAAGACACACAGAGAGAGAGAGATAACACAGAGACACACAGAGAGATAACACAGAGACACACAGAGAGAGATAACACAGAGACACACAGAGAGGTACACACACATAGACACACACAGAGAGATAACACAGAGACACACAGAGAGAGACACACAACATAGACACAGAGAGAGATAACACAGAGACACACAGAGAGATAACACAGAGACACACAGAGAGAGAGATAACACATAGACACACAGAGAGAGACACAACATAGACACAAAGAGAGAGATAACACAGAGACACACAGAGATACACACACAAAGGCACACACAGAGAGAGATAACAAAGAGACACAGAGAGAAACAACACATAGACACAGAGAGAGATAACACAGAGACACACAGAGAGAGACACACATTGACACACAGAGAGAGATAACACATAGACACAGAGAGAGATAACACAGAGACACACAGAGAGATACACACACAAAGGCACAGACAGAGAGAGATAACACAGAGACACACAGAGAGATACAGACACAAAGGCACACACAGAGAGAGATAACACAGAGACACACAGAGAGAGATAACACAGAGACACAAAGAGATACAGACACAAAGGCACACACAGAGAGATAACAAAGAGACAGAGAGAGAAAACACAGAGACACATAGAGAGAGATAACACAGAGACACACAGAGAGATAACACAGAGACACACAGAGAGATACACACACAAAGGCACACACAGTGAGAAATAACACAGAGATACACAGAGAGACACACACACATAGACACACAGAGAGAGATAACACAGAGACACACAGAGAGATACACACACAAAGGCACACACAGAGAGATGATAAAGAGACACAGAGAGACAACACATAGACACACAGAGAGATAACACAGAGACACACAGAGAGATACACACACAAAGGCACAAAGAGAGAGAGATAACACAGACACAGAGAGATAACACAGAGGCACACAGAGAAAGATAACACAGAGACACACAGAGAGAGACAACACAGAGAGATAACACAGAGACACACAGAGAGAGACACAAAGACACACAGAGAGACAACACAGAGACACACAGAGAGAGACACACAACATAGACACAGAGAAAGATAACAGAGACACACAGAGAGAGAGAAAACACACTTCATAAAAAGTGGCTTAGTTTATTATCACGCCACACTGTATCTCTCGCTGTGGCTCGTAACGTGAATATTAAAGTCCACATGATGAAACTCTATCGATGTACATAATACATTATTATAAGAATAATAGTACCCAGTAAAATCCTGAGTCTCAAGACTCTTTTCCATGAGGTTCCTGCAACATTGGGACGTTTGGCCAGTCCCATTCGTGAGATTTTGGCTTCTCGTGGGAAAAAAACCCACAAGAGAACGTGGATAAATCCCACCAAGGATGTCACTCAAAGTTCCGCACAGATGGATTCAGTAATCAATTGCTGTATTGCCTATTCTAGATTTGAAGCTTTCGTGACTGCAAGGATCCATACTCTTTGGTTCTATTCGGTAAAGTCACTCCAGCGCTGTCCTCGAGACAGTCTGGTCCCTTCACCTGGTGAAGGCCACTTGTGTTGTGGCCGAAACGTCGTGAATTTTTTTGTTTTATACTTTTACGTGACTTTACCGAATAGAACCAAAGAGTATGCTGTATTGTCATCTCGTGGACACCTCGCAGCCAATTTAACACTTCGGCTTTCGCGACCAATATTATGACTACTACTATAATGAGCCAAGAATGTCTGTTTGTGCGTGACGTCACTCCACATGCCCCCCCGTCATTAGGGGCCGTCCATAAATGACGTCACGCAATTTTGAACGATTTTTGACCCCCCCCTCGTCACACGGCGTCACAAAAAGTCAGACCCCCCCCTCAAATATGACGTCACAAAGCTCTGCCCCCCTCAAAAAATAAAACATGCTTCAAATCGCTTTAAACTATTGTCATTGAAGTGCGTATTTAATGTGGCGCTGCACTCTGATGTTGTAGTAGAAAACATCAAAAAGTATATTTAATTAAGTAGAACGTGTTGTCTATATTTAAAGTTGCGCATTTTGATGTGACGTCACATTTCTCAACCCCCCCCCCTCGTCACACATCGTCACAAATGTCTGATCCCCCCCCCCCCGGGTGCGTGACGTCATTTATGGACGGCCCTTTATATTAATGAGCGGATAGATTTTTACACTCGCGCAGAAGAAGATCGAGCAGAAATAAATTTGTCGCATATTCGCTTTAAGTTAGACGTTTATTTATTGAAAGTGAATCTAATAAATAATTCTACGCAGCAACAAAGTGGATTTGGTGTCTTTATTTCTTCAGCACTTGAGACAAAAGGTTAGTCTAATTTATGCTTCTGCATTATGGTAAAATAGAGCTTTATCGGTGAATTTCCAGATATTGTATCGAATTAAAATTATTTCAACAGTGAATATGAACAAATTGAAGGTCAATTATATACAGTGCTAGTGACTTTTTTTGTTGCAGGAATCACTGCCATTAATACAGTGCTATAGTGAAATGCAGTTAAGTGTTTGATGACTTACTTTTATGCAAGGATTCACTGCCATTAAATTTACACAAGATACAATTATACTCTGCTCAATTTATTTTGTGAATATTACAGCTTCCGTCCTAGGACGGGCAAAGAAGCTAGTTCATAATAAAGGTTGTTTGGGTTTGATCGTGTAAGTATAATTGTGTCGAAACCCTCCACCACCCGACACGGCCAATCAGTAAGGGATTTGTCATCTGAGTACGACGTTTCGCTGGTAATTACATCCAACATCATCGGGCGATTTGCCAGTCTCACATCCAAACACTAACCAGGCTCCAACCCGTTGAGTCCCGGGATTTTCTAAGTTGAGTTTATAAGTAAATTTTTGTTACACAAGTGTTATTATTTACAGTAGAGAAAATAGTGTATCGTTCAAATGAGGCGTGATTTTTTTAAAGTTGATTTTATAAGTGTAGGTAAACTTGCTACATGAGTTTTTTCTCTGTGACCTGTAGTTTTTGTTTAAGTAAAAAAAAAGTAAACTAGAAATAAGTATTAAGTAAAAAAAAGTAAACTAGAAATAAGTAAAAATGTAATGGCTAGCATCTCGAGAGTGAGCCCCGTTGGGTTGGCGGCCAGGCCGCTACCCGCCATATCTCTGCACTGAGACCGGGAGGCCCCGCTCGCATGCCGCGGGGGGCTCAGCCTATGGGGGGGCTTCTCTGCCCGTTGGGGCCCGGGAGGCGAGCGGGGCTCGAGACGCTGTTCCAGCGCCTGCACTCACTGCGGCAAAGCTGTGCGAGGTCCGGGGACTTTCCCCTAGGCCCACGGGTGGGGCCTAGATGGCGAGTCTTCAGGATGCTAACCACGGCAACCAGGGTGTCTCGGTCCATATTTATAGCATGGTCGTTAGTGGTACGTCTACGCCATGGGTATACTTTGTACGTCTATTGTGCTCGCAGCGAGCTAAATGTTTTCTCTTTATATAGGAAAAAAACGTGCGTATATGGCAATGACGGTGTTTGTTTTCAACTAAAGCATAATGGGTACCGTTTTTTTAAAATAAAAACATTAGTTTACCACGGCGCCATATATTATGTTAATTAGGATTGGTTGCAGGCGCGTCATCGCCTACGCGCCAATCATTGAGGACAACAGTGAATGTGCCGTTCAAACATTCACTACCTCTACGCTATAGGGACACTTTCATCGCGTGTCGTATGCAATCACACGTTAAATATGTTTTATATAAGTAGATTCATAAAAAAAGGTTTAGATTAACTAAACGTGAATACACGCAACATTTATTTACTAAAGTACAAGAGTGGCTACTTTTTTTTCAATGATTATAAACAGATTCGTTTTCCCTCGGCTGCATAGATTATGTTAATAGATCTCGCGTGCATTTAATAACGTTGGGCAGTTAGATTCCCCACCTAGGATAAGCGAGGCCCCGCCTTAATCGGCGTCTGATTGGTGGGGAGGCGCCTTATCGCCTGCGCGCCAGCCAATGCCCCACCGTGCAGTGCTTCATTTCAAACAATCGCGATGCTCGGATCGAGTCTTAGCGCCTATCCGTTGTAGGTAATCTAAGCGAGTTGCTTGTTCTTGCGCCAATGGAATATTTAATTTTATTTTTTTTAATTGAGGACCATCGAGAACACGACAGCGAAAATGTTTGTTCTCTTCACGCGGGGTAAATATACGGTTCGGTGTTCCGTGGATTAAAAAAAAGTCAGATTTTCACACGAAGACATTACTAAATAAAGGTATTTCAATTACAACATTGCTGACAGTGCATTGTGGGAATGTTTGTTGTGCAATTGCATTTCTTGGCGCGATTCCCGTTGATTGGTGGAGACCTCTCCCACATTAACATAATCTGCCCCGCCCATCTCTAAACCTTTATAAACAGCTTGCCCTCAGAGGATAACCTCCCAGTTCCTCATGACTGCTTGTGTTGCGATTTAAACGTTGTGATATTTTTATTATTTTTTATTCACTTTATCTTTATTATTTTTCTGCGTGACCGAAAGAACCATAGAATGCGATTTACATTTAAAAGGTGTCCTTTGGTATTTATAGTATTGTGATTTTCTACGCTACGTCGTCTCACGTTACATACACGTTTTTTGTGTATAATGTAATCGTGGATGTATCTTTTGTTAATAAACCTGTTTATGAAAGAAAAATAATGCCTACGCTTTTTAAAAGAAAATAAATACAGATTAGTTTACCTCGCGAGCATAAATTATGTTAATAAATCCCGCGCGTGCGCAATCGGTTTCATTTAAATCGTACGGCGGTCGGCCGTAGTGCCGCCCCACCAATATATTTCCCACCGCGGATAAGCGACGCCCCGCCTCATTCGGATCTTGATTGGTTACGTTTACGTCACCGCCTACGCACCAACCAATGGGGTCGCCTCGGCTACTGCCGTCGATGGCAGTCCATCCAATCGGGTGGCTCGGAGGGGCGAGCGGCGCCTATCCGCTGTAGGCAATATAAGCGGGTGGCACCGCCTGTTCATGCCCCATCGGAGCTACACGCAGCGCCTTACAGCCAACTCACGGTGAGTGGGGACCAACGTTAAACATTTTATTTTCTTATTTTTTTATCGAAGCCGATATCGAATCCAATTACAACGCGGATTTTTTTCTCGCCTTTAACTCTTAACTCGCGCTCGGTTAGCGATTGGGAAGAGCGTGTCTTTACAAATGGAAATTCGTCGTCGTTTTTGGGCCCTCCGATCGTGGCTCCGCCGTTGTTGCGGATAAGGAATCGTGGCCATGATTTTATTTTTTTTCGCTTTGCCCCGCCGCGTGTTCTTCCCCTCAAACCCGAGCGGGCGGCGGGGGGGGAGGAAAAAAAATGTGGAGATTTTTAATCCGTCGCGAGTGAATTTGCTTTTAAACTCCGTGGCCGCCACTAGCCGCTCGCGGGAAGAGGGAAGCGCTTCCTACGGAGAGGGCTCCTTTGTTCGCAGTGACATGGCCGCCCTTCTGCCCGGGCCGCCGTTGCCTGTCTTATTTAATTATTTACATCATCATCATCCCGCCCGCGCGCGCTGCCTTCATTTATTATTTCTTATTCCTTCCCTCCCCCACCACCGCCTCTCCGTTAAATTCATTATTTACTTGTTATTGCTGTTTGTGCTGAGCAGCCGGCCCAACCCGGTTTAACGCAGTTTCACAATAGTTTTTTTGTTGTTGGGTTTCCTTGTAAAGTTTTTCTCTCTCTCTCTTTCCTCCTTCACCGCGGGCGGTCTCTTTATCTCGTTGGGTCCAAGGAGACACCCAGGTTTTGTTGGCGGCACATCAGACCCGGGACATGTTTTTTTTTAAGACCTGGTTTATGTTAAAATAAATTTTGATACATCGGGGGGGAAATATTTAAGTGGAAAGGGTAATTATACCAGGCCTGTTAGGGGGGAGACCTGGGTTCGCAAGGAAAATGAGGCTTGTTAAAACGGGGAACACGAGTTCAGGTATTTAATGAAGACCCGGTACACAGGTTAAAGGAGAAATGGTCTTTATGGGAACATGGTACAGTACACACAACATTAAACCAGGGAGACCTGGCACAAAGGGAAAATGACACCTTATCGGGTAGCTCAATCCATTAAGGCACCTTAAACCTGTAATTTTTATTTGATCAGGTAAGCCCCACTGAACTATACAGTATATCTTTTTCTATTAACGACCTGTCCAGACTCTCTGGTTCTTTCGGTAAAGTCACGTAGGAGGAAATTAAATACTAGAAATACCTGTCCACAAATGAGTAAGTGGCTTGTGTGGAAATTTCTAACAGCCAAATATTCTAAACGCATGTTTCTAAATGTGGAGGGAATAACCTGAGGACCCGGAGAAAAATCCACGCAACCACGTGGAGAACAAACTCCAATATACAGGCTGGGCCATAAGTAACTGCCTGATTTTAAATAGCGTTATTTTGGTTTTAGAAGCCTGGGAGTTAATGAAAAACTTGTATACACCTGAGCAGCGTGCAAGAATAGTTAACATTTCTTTCCGGAACAATTGTTCAATTATTTCAACAGACTATCGCAGATATTTAAAAACTCAAACGACCACCATATTCGGGCGTTAATTTCCCGGTTTCGGGAATTGGGAACAACGAATATTGGTACAGAACTTGCATCTTTTTTACGTTTAAGATTCAGCTCGTGCAAGAATTGCAGCCTAGAGACCATCATAGTAGCCGAGAGTACTCGTGGGCTTTTATTGAACTTGCAGACCAAGACGATGCTTTCATTACAAATTTTATGATGTCAAATGAAGGTAATTTTCACCTTAGAGGCTTGGTCAAGAAACAAAATTGCAGGTTCTGGGGTTCGGTAAAAATAATGATATCGAATCTTCATGAATTCCATAATTTTCTAGCCTTTAGTTTTCATTTTTCGAACGTTATAGGCAAAACTAATCGGGTAGTTACTTATGGCCCACCACCCTGTACATGCATCAGGGTCGGCATCGAATTTACCTGTTTAGGGAGACCTGGCACTTCGAGAAAATGAGACTGCATCTATGGAGAGACTTGGTTCATATGAATACAGAACTGATCCATAGTGACACCTAGTATTTGATTCATGGACACAATGAAGCAAATCCCATTGAGCCACATGAGACCTGGTCATGAGATCACTGAAACTTGATTTAACATGTACAGGGAGATTAAGTCTGGTCCTTGGGAGAACCAGTTTATGGAGACAAATTTTACCCAAGATCCTACTAATAGTAAAAGGAGATGAAACCTACTTTTACATTGATCTGTGTACACGACACTTGATTCAGTTACGTGGTATTATTGAATGCGAAGGAGTTTGTGGCAATTTTGCTCATGACCACTCGTGCTGGGTGTGCAGATTAGCGCCATGGGACGCGGCGACCCCAGCAAGCCGCGCGGGCGCATGTCGTCCTACGCATACTTTGTGCAGACGTGTCGCGAGGAGCACAAGAAGAAGCACCCCAACGACTCTGTGGCTTTCACCGACTTTTCCCGCAAGTGCAGCGAGCGCTGGAAGGTAATATCCCACTTCTCTACAAACACTGCAAGCCTAAAAATATAAATTAAGATTCCCTGAGGCTTGTTAAATGATCGTTAGTTTTTTTTAACAGGATATTGCATGTAGGCTAATGGAGCTAAGAGTAAAAGGATAAGACTGGACAAACGAGACGAATCTTGCAAATTGCATCCCAGAATCGTCACAACACCTCTTAGCCTGTGGGGTGAACAACTATATCCTAAATATTACTATTGAGATGTCTAGCCATTTGTATGGTCCACAGTGTCGTCTAATCAGAAATATTTGCTCCAGGGGTTGTCTCCAAAGGAGAAGCTGCGGTTCGAGGACTTGGCGCGTGCGGACAAGACTCGCTATGACACCGAGATGAAGGACTATGCCCCAGCGCGTGGTGGACGCGGCGGCCCTGCGCAACGCAAGAAGAAGGACCCCAACGCCCCCAAGCGGCCCCCGTGTGTTCCCATGCCCTTTACACCCAACATGCACCATTACACACATGTGAAAATGAACGTGTATACGGGGTGGGGATCCTGCAGTCTGGCCCCGCCACTTCATTACAATCGGCCTGTGGTCTAACTGCTTCAAAATGGCTCTCAGATTAAAGTTGTCACTGCAATCGTCTTGGCTGCACGAATGCATACTAGAATTTTGGTGCGTTTTAACTGGAAATACTTTATAATTTTGGTGTGCTCTGGCAGTGATAAGTGACTGAGGTGTCACTTCAATGTGTGGATATCGATCTGGCCCTCTGTAAGGAATGGCAATTGGAAAGGGTTCCCTGCCCCTGGTATATATTATATGCCTGCCAATACTGTGCACAAAACTAGTGTCCACTGCATAGGCTTGTTTCTTATTTGCACCCAGCTTGCATTATGGTACTGTGCTGCCCTATTGTGCTTCTCTGCTGGCTGTATTGCTTCCTTGGCTGTGCTTCCTTTCTGAGGTGCGAGCGGGGGGGATCCGTTGTCTTGCGGGGATTCTCATGCATGGCGCACGATGCACATGTAACCGCTTCCCCCGCCCCAGGTCCGCCTTTTTTATTTTTTGTGCCGACTTCCGGCCGCAGATCAAGGCGGACAACCCGGGCATGGTGATTGGCACCATCGCCAAGCGACTCGGGGAGATGTGGGGTCGGCAAACAAATGAAAACAAAGCTCCGTACGAGCACAAGGCCAACATACTCAAGGAGAAGTACAAGAAGGTACAATGCTTTCACTTCCAGCAGTCAACACACTTGTTACCGGCTGACTTTGAAGCCTGACTGTTTAAATTCCTCAAGCGTTTGCAGAAAGCAAACTGCATACTGATGCCTATCTGAATGCAGATTCGCATCATCCAGCTCGGATATCCTCTCTTATCAAGACGCTCATACATCAGGCTAAAACAGTGTCAGATGGTGAAAGTCTAGTGAGGGAGATCAAACGTGTTAAAGAAGCATTACGACAATGGCTACAATACTAAAATTAACAGCGCTGAATGCCAAATCACGATGGCAAAGCAACACTGCTGAAAGCGATCAGATTGTTAAACAATTTTAAATTCCATATACCTCAGGAGTAACTGACAAATTAGCCCGTGTTTTGCAAAACATTACAGTAAGATTTGGCACAGTACACAAAATTCAAAAACTAGTATCTTGCACTAAAGACGAATTACCTAAATTATCAACAGAAGGTGTATATTGGATTAATTGTATGTGGCGGATGCTATATTGGACAGACGGGACGTAACATCAGCATAAGACTAAAAGAACACCAAAGAAATATTAAATTATCTCACACACAACTGTCGGCAGTGGCAGAACATGCTTGTCAACAAGTACACTCAATTGATTTTGATAACGTTTAAGTGTTGTGTAAAACTAATTATTACTGGCAAAGACTAATTAGAGAATCCATTGAAATGAAGAGAAATACAAATAACTTTAATAGCTCTGACAGCTACAGGCTTAGTGCAGCTTGGAAGCATATTATTAAATAATACATATTACAATTCCTTATAGGGGAAACACATACTAATTAACGGATTACTAACGTAGCATATAATCACAACTCATTACAACTAATTACTAATCTACAACTCAATAATCATAACCATTGACTGATTACCAATCGATTATATAATTACAATACCCCCCCCCTCCGCCTCAAATCACTGCACCTGAATGAGTTAAATGATGACGTCACCCTGCTGCTCTATTTAAGACTGGGAGCAAGTGAGGGCTTTACCATTCTGGCGAATTTCCCGATGCTGGATGTAATTACCAGCGAATCGTACTCAAACCGGTGTGTTGAGTGAATCCACAACATTTACAGTGGGCTAAAGTAGTGAACTAATTGTTGTCTGTCAACGTGACACTTTTTTGCTGATTGGCCGTGTCGGGTGGTGGAGGATTACGACACATTTTTAAATAACCCAATCTAACCCAAAAACCTTTATTATGAACGATATTGGTTGCGAAAGCCTACGTGTTAAACTGATGTAATTATGGTTGGGAATTACTGCTAGAAAATATTAAAGATCCCGTGCCTTTTTTTCCCAAGAGTGGACTTTTGTGTTGGTGCCTAATGAAAATATTATATAACTTTGAATATATGGAAAAATAACCCCTGTGCTGTCTGGGTCTCAGTTATTTAAACATCATCGTGCTCATCAAGGCATTGAGTCGAATTGCAGTATCGCAGTGGATTTCTCTGTTTTTCCCACATTCGCAAGCACAAAGCTCCATAGAGCCTTATGACAACCTGGCATACAGATGCTGCCCTGGTTAGTTCGTGAAATCTCAATATTGGGACGTGTGCCTGGGTGACTTGCTGGTGGGGCGCATCTAAGCAGGCGTGTGTTGTCAACGCAGGATGTGGCTGCGTACCAGCGCTCAGGAGCAAGTGCGAGTGGTGCACACAAACCAGCAGCAGCTGCTCCCAAGCGAGGAAAGCCGGCCGCGACAGCCCCAGCGCCCGCCCGTCACGAAGATGACGAAGACGAAGATGATGAGGAGGACGAGGAGGGAGACGACGACGATGATGACGACGACTACGAGGACGACGAGTGATTGCGCCGTCAGACGCCGGCGATCAGCTGGGTCTGACGAGGCAATGGGGAGGCGAAGCCTCTAGGCGGCCGATTGCCAAGAAGCAACTGCATAACGGTTGCTGTTAGTAACGTGTTTTCTTGGGCAGTCATTTTTAATGTTAACCTGTTAAGGAACAGCAGGGTTTTGTGTGTGCGTGTGTGTGCGTATATATGTATAATTTATATATATACACATGTACAGCTCCCCCATGCAACGCGTGCCCGTGCGCTACTGGTTTATTTTGTAACGGTTGTTTTCTCTTTTTTGTTTAAGTAGCCCGTTTTATGCCAATTTGACGTTGGATTAATTAAAAACGTGTACATTTTATCCGTTGTCATTTTTGTTGCAATTACTTTCGGAATTGTCATGAATATCGCTATAAAACTTGCATGAGACTGCTTTGAGGTTAACACGAGGAGGAGGGGGATGTACTTTAAAAGGGTGTGTGGAATCAAGGGTAAAGCAATTTGTGTGCAAGCCTTTAACAATTCGTGCCCAGCACAGGTTAGGATTTGTCATAATTTGGCGTTTCGATTCATTGACCAATCACGTATTTTCTCAGAAGCTTGATTTTGTGCACGTGGTTATTTCAATCTATGCATTGTTATTACCCCGATGCTACGCAGTTGGGCACATGTACAATGAAGGTTAATTTCAAGCGATGAGGCAAACGGACTGCCAGAGGGAATTTTATGTTCTAAAGTAACAGCACTGATTTGGTGTGGCTGGACATGACCAACGTTTTAACTTGGCCTGTGATGATCAGAATATAGCGTCATCCCAGAATCGTGGAACCATTAGTGATCTTTTGGCAAATCAACTCTTGCGCCTGGCTGACGTTTCTTCCTTGTCTCTGGGCCCAGCAGGACGGCACTGGCAAGCCTCTGGTTATCTGCTCTGCTGTAACTCCTGTGTATTCCACCAATTGCCTCATTCGCATGCAAGGAGCAATTCCTTTTGACATCTTTGAGCCAGTAGGTATTCGGCATTCCTTTTGCAGATGCCAAGCTCTACAGGACAGTTATTTTAAACCCCATCCATGGTACTGTAGTGCATTCACCCTGGATGATTGTAGGGATGGGGAGGTGTTGATTTGCCTCCTGGTTATTCCATGAATTGTCCAAGAAATTACACTTGGAAGGTTTTTTTTTTGTCAGCCATGATCTATCCGCTTGGAAGAAGGCCTCTCCAAATGAACATCAGGCTCGTGATGCCACTAGGTCCAGCACACGAGTCGTTCCATACAAAATATCAAAGTAGAGCAGTACTACACCCCTGAATAATGCACTTCAAAAATACTGGCTTATGGGATATGACTAGCTGAACGGACAAATGCGAAGTAGGGTTTTTATTCAAAACAAAACTTTATATTAATGGCAGGTAATTCCACTGATTAAAATATATATTTTTTTACTTTCAATTGCCAACTGGTTTTCCAAAAGGACCTCCCGAGTTTCATTTGATCATGTTGATCCTGGTCCGCCTTCAATAACTGCCCCAGCTGCGATGGTGGTATTTTCACATTTGTGTATTGTCGCGCAGTGCCACCAGTGGCCCGCTGGCCTTTCAATGAAGAACACTGCACGAGGGCGAGAGAACGCTTCGGGGAACTGAACTTGCGGCAATCCAAGCTAATAAGAAACCTATGTTGGCTTGGGCAGGACACGTCATCACGAGAAAGGGACGGGAGTCCAGAACAATACGGAGTGGCAGCCAAGGAATGAAACGGGTCTGCGTGTACACGGAGTGATGAGACGAGTCTCCTGGGAGGAGTGTTGCATCGTGGAGTTTGTGGTTGCGATTTAGGGAATGCTTAGTCGAGCGGTGCACTGACCGTGGCTGATGATGAATCATGAAGTCGGCGCATTGTATATAATCACGTAAACGACGTGGCAAGCGATGAATATGTATTTAGTTGTGGGGTAATTAGCATTTGATAGCCGTTGCATCAATTATGTGAATAATGAGGCGTGTCGGCAGTTACCCCCGATCCTCGATTCGACGAAGCATCACGGTACGATTGTAGGCTGCATTTCTCGCGTGATTGACACCACCGTTCCTCTGGTGGCCTTTTAGTGCGGCCCCCGACATTACACAAATGGTGAAAACACCCCCCCACCATCATCGTCGTGCTGCTGTCAAACCCCCAATGGCTTCAAATGGCGATGTCTCTCTGGTGAAAGTGGCCGCCGCTCGGAACATTCGGCAGGAACATTGAATTAGGCGGCCTCGTTCTGTCTCAGTGGATCGTAATCTATTCTTACTCGCGGTCGATTTGACTCGAGCAGAATCGATTTTTGCGATAATCGATAAACCAATCGCTGCGTTCTGGTTCATCACATTACAGGTTGCGTCACTTGGTGGCGCTGCTGCTGCTGGCAGTGGTGGACAGACAAATAAAGACTCAACACATTCAACAAACACACTGGTCCTAAAAACATGTAATAGGCGACGTTTCGGGCAATGACCCTTAATCGCACCTCACTCGCGTGTATGCTGTGTCGACCCATAAACATGTGCTCTAGTTATTGCGCGTGTGTACTGGCACATTGTGTGCTGTGAAGACGGCCCATTACCCGAAACGTCGCATACATTTGCCATGTGGTTTAAATACAGCCACGTGGTGACGTCGACCCGAGACGACGCGCCGACGTCACGCAACGCTCAGGCAACCTGCGCCAATCGGCGCTTGTGTTGTCGGCATCGACGTCATCACGCAGGGGCTCGGCCGCCTTGCGTGATGACGTCACGAGCGCCCCTCTTCCCCACCCCCCCTTCCATGTCAGCAGCATTCGAGACGATGCATTCGAGGGCTTGCGAAAAAGTTACTGAAAGCAACCAAATCAGTTGTTAGTCAATGACCCGCTGCGCCGCCCGCCTGACCCACACCCGCCGCTTTTCATCACAGGTTTGGCCACCTTTAATTGCCTCCATCTCCGCGTTTCACTTTTCCCCGCCGCCACCCATCCCCTGGTTCAAGCGTCTCGCCGCCTCGGAATCCCGGCGCGTCTCTTTGGGCCGGCCGGCCGGCCTGGCGAGCCCGAGGCTCCTCGCCGGGGTAGGCCTTGAATGTCAGCGGGTCGCCTCGGCTCAGGCGGCGTTCCTCGTGCTCGTTGGGGCTGGCGAACACGAGGCAGTCGCCATCCTGTCCGCTAGGCACGGGTGGCGCTCCGCGTTGCCGCTCGCCTTCGTCGCTTTTCATTGACGGCCGGGCCGCCTCTCGCGGACGAAAAGTTTCTGGGTTTTTTTTTTTAAAAACTCGCGCCGTTCTGATGGGCTTAGTTTTGGTTCCATGAGCGTCGGGGCTTTCGCCAAGTCGAGCTGTGTTAATGGCCTGGAGCCTGTCTGTCGTGTTCGGTGCGGTGGTCGAGTGAGACTTGTGTCCAGAACTGGCGCGGCTGTGTTGTACTGCGTCGGTGTGTGGCGTTAAAACATCGGCAGAGGGTGAGAACAAGACGGTCCGTGCGTAGATACTGGCCACGAGCCACTCTCGTGAGCCGTGTCAACCTTCATAGAGGCATTCGCTAAAACAATACTTTCATCGACGGTCTATGGTGGCTATCTGGCGGGTCTTTGTATTGTCACTGTATATCAGTCATTTTGTATGTGACGGGGAGCGGTGGTGCAGTGGTTAACGCATCCATTTTCGGACCGCTGCTCGCATCAATTGGCGAGCGAGTCTTGGAACTCGGTCTGCTCGTTATTGGGTACCTGGTGCGGTGTGTCAACATCGACACAGCTGGCCATACAAGCTCCTGCGTGCGCCCTGCATCCCTTAATAGGTAACTTGCCAACAACATTTCCCCCCCCCCCAACAGTCTGTTCAGGCAATACGGCGGGGGGGGGGGGGTCTTTGTCTTTGTACTTGGTGGTTTGCTCACTGAACTACAAACCCGGCCGGCTACAAAATTTCGATTCCAAAGCACCGTCGGTGGCAAGTGGAATATAAACCAAACCTTTGGCTCCCCTAAGTCTACTCGGCCTTAAATGAGTATCGGGTGCTCGACGCGAACATCATCACTGGAGAGATAAAATAAGTCGGGCATGATCTTGGCCACCATCCCCTGCTGTGTTTGTGCTGCGTTTAATAGGTGCTCGCTAACAGCAGTTTCTCATGAACTGGGTCGATTTGTTAGCTGCACCCAATAGGTAATAATACATGTAGCCAAAAGCCATTGATAACGCTTCTATAGTTTTGTGGGAGAGCTAAAGATTACAATCCTCACCCAGGGGTTTCAAGTTCAGCTGACACGTGTTGTTGGTTTAATCGCTAATTGTCATGCAGGGTGCAAAGTGTAATGCGCTGCTACAGTTGGGCTCTTGCTAAACCTGTTCTCCCCAAGTAGGGGTGTGAATGTATAATGCGCTGGAAAGTACGAGAGAATGTTTCCGCACTCACTGCCCTCGTCCCACCAAATGTTACGTCTTCGGGGAAACCTACTTTTTTTTTAACAGGACTAATCGATAATCATTTTTATTACCCCTATTTTGTACCCGTATACCAGGCAGGGGGAGCGTGATGGCATCGGCACCCTCCCGGGGAACGGGGCCCCCCTACATCGCGTTGTCACTGCTTCATGGCGACGAGGAGACGGAGGATGAGGAAGGAGGTGAAGACGAGGATGGCAGTGCCACCGAGGACGACCGACTGCTCAGCATGCAGCGTGGGCATCACTATTTCACCGGCAGCATCTCGTTACCTCTCGTGTCAATGCTTACATCACCAGTGGCACACACCGTTCATCGCTGACATTGTTTTTCATCTCATACCTCCGTGTTGTAGGTTTTGTTCTCCCCCTGCCTCTGTTTAATATGCAAAACTTATTTTCCTGCGTCCTGATCAGCCCCTCTATTGTTGCCGTAGCCTTCCCCTATTGTATAGCTCGTGGGAGTAGCAGTGGCGCAGTTGTTAACGTTGGTGTGCTATGGACCTGATTACAGTGGTCTATTCCTGGTCATGGCTAACATCAGTGACGAGTGCTATCTGAACTGTTCTTGGATCCCCACTACACGATCCAGCACAGACCAACGTGGCGAATTACGTCCATACAACAACCCCCCGTGACTGACAGGATGTAGGGAACCCTTCATCCACCAGTGAATTAACAAATGGCTGAAACGAATAGAAATAATGATCGTACAGCTTAATAACAATTGCAATTAGCTATCACGCGAACCATCAGTTTACTATGTTTTATATATTGTCCCTACATCATGAGCGTCATGTTTCCATCATCATAATGGCCTGCATCTCCAGTACTATATTACCATCGGCATCACCATTGCTATTCTGCACTACAGAGACCATTCTTTACCAACCACGAAAG